ACCTATCTATATTATCTATTGAACTAGTGTACATTTTCAATCAGATTCAAACACAAAGATAGTCACTTCTGATGATCACAAAACTGGTTTGAAAATAGGACTTAGCATTGGCTTAACAATTGCTGTTTGCATTCTCATTGGAATTTTCGCTGGTATAATTTACAAAAGGCCAAGATCTTCAAAATTGCCCATAGAAAAAATAGTTTTTCTAGTACAACTGAATTGTCCAAACATTCTAAAAATGAAACTGCATAAAAGTATAAAATATGTGGAAAATTATATCTAGAAATTAGCCAGATCCTTTTTTTATTATCAAAAGCCAGTTATTGATTACAAAGGAATGACTGTCCTATTTCAAATATTTTTTGAGGTTCTAAAAAAAGTTAAGAATTAATACCAACAAACAATATTGTTTCTTGGATATTCATCACTAGATAATTTGCTCCTGAAAATTTCATCTCGCTTACAGTGACTTTTCATCCCATTTTGGTTACATAATGTGTTTCTTTGATGACTGATTTTAAGTAATATATACAGTATATACGTTCCTGAGAAAATCTATTGGCTTGTTTTTACAGGTATAGACGTGGTAGGTTACTACAAATCCAAAATCATAGATTGTACACTTATGAATTATGCTTTGCTAGGATATAGTGTTTGCTGTGTAGTTAGATAATGAGTAGATGTTATTGTTAGGACAATAGATAAACCTTCAACCTTATCACTTGTATACAGCTCTTATCAAGAAGCTTGAAGTGTGTGTGCAGCTCTGGCTATTCTGCCTTATGGAAGATTAGGGTATATCGACAAGTGTCTTACCCAAAATTCTATCAAATCTAATTAGCAGACATTAAACATAAGATTGCAATCTAATTTAACTCTGTTGGTTACTATTATACCAATTGAGTTGAGTGTGTATGGGTGCAAAAGCCAACACAATGAAACTCCAAGCCTTTTATTAAGGACTAAATTTCTGAATGAGCACAATGTTGGCTCACATGTGTCTAGGAGATTGCTAGACATGAGTCTAGCTGATTTTTTGATGTTTAACCCTATCTAGTATTTTTTACTTCTAGACAACAACTGCACATGCTATGCAACAGAAAATGTCTATAAATCAGTGCTTTTACTATAACCCTAACCCAGCCCATGGCCATACCTAACCTTTTCCCTTACCCCTAACCCTTAGAGGAGACCCTCCTAAGTACACATTAGTTGCTGTCTTTTGCTTCCCAACCATTTCTCAATCCAAAATCTAGTCTTGAAATTTCTCATTTGTCGACCTTTTCTGTTAAACACCTGCACATGTCATCTTATAGAAGAATGAAATTCTTCTTTCTGTCCTGCATGCATATTAAAAAAAGGATCAAAGTTTATGGTAAAAAAATGAAAACCATCTTCACAACTTCACTAAAAGTCCAGATAACATTCTTCAATCAAGATTAATTTTGATGGAAATGGCAATTGGTGACATGTGATAAAAGAATGGCAGAAGATATTATCTAAAATTTAAAGATAATATTGAAGTCTTGCCAGAATTAAAATCACAAAGAAGAAAAGTTCCCAGATATAAAGAGAGTAAAAGAATAAAACATCCAAGAGATTTTGATTTTGAAATGAATAAGGATGAAATCCAACGGACTTTTTATTAAGAGATGCTAAAGAAAAGAAATAACATTATATTTTTGTTAGAAACACCAAATAGAATTATTAAAATGTTGTTAAATTTGGTTTTTTGATTCAACATTTAAAGTTGATAGAGATCCATTCTATCAGATATGGTCGATTCATGAATTCTTGAAAAGTCATTGTTCACTTCAGTTTGATATAAAGAAACTGACCTCTGGAATTTATCTAACGTAATTACTTAGGAACATTTAAAGAGCATTTTCTGCCAATTTCCATTTTAGTAAAAATTTATAATCAAATATTACTGGAAAGTAAAATGAATTGTATATCTTATCCTTCAATTTATAAAAAATGATAATTAGGTAAGTCCTTTTAGTTAAATATTATTCCACTTTTGGAAAAATCCAGGGCAATGCTTGCTACTGGACTTTGATATTTTTCTTCAGGTACACTGGGAAAAAATGATAAAGGATACTCTTTTAATCAGTTTTTTCATATTACTGAGTGTTTGTTGTGTAATACACGAAACAGTCTTAACAGTACTGCTTCTCCTTAGACCTATAGTTCTATACTGTTTAACCAACTTCCACTTTTCTTCCTAATATTTACATAATATTGATACCAGATATTGCAGACATTAAGTTAAATATGGATTGAAAGATATGTATTCAAAGAAAAAACAAACACTAAATATTTTGCTAAAGAACAAAAAAGGTTGATAAGTAATATTTATGCTGGAGAGTAGCTTTGGGATGTCTGCATTAATTAATCGATGTATGTCAATTTGTTCAACTTGAAATGTAGGTGAGTTGCCTTCTACAATAAAAAGTGCCAGTTATTTAAATGTCATGATTTGTCCACAAATGACAAAATCATTTTGTACGAAGATGAAAAAATTAATAGCAATGGGAAAAAGTAATATTTTAATTTTCTGATTTTCTATTGAAATCAGCGACCCTTATGATAAAGATTTTGAGGAATGTAAAGTGCTTATAGTTTGCCAACTGTGAAATGATGATTGAATATTGGAGGCAAACCAAAAGTATTTAATCATTCACTATTCTACCCTGCTGTTTGTCCTACACTTTGTAGCATAATTTTTAGAAAAATGAAAATCATTTTTGAAATGTTTGATTATTCTTACACATTTTATCAAAAGCTGTAGTCTATATAAAACTTGTTTGTCAGCTTAGTTTTTATAACCTCCTGCTGAGAATAAAAATATTTGGATAGAATAGAACAAAAAAGCACAGTGTGCACTTGTGAGGTACATTCTTTTCCAAATATTCTATATTTACACATTTCACTGTAAGGTCTGTTGAAACCAAATTATCCACTTTATAGAACAATTATTAGGGCAGACAAGGAGTTAGTTTTAAAAATCTCTAAATTTGATAATGACAGTGTCACTCATTGTATCAACATTAAGCTGACTTTTAATAACAATGGATAGACATTGTTTCGGTATTCTTTTCCTAAGATCTGTCTTTAGGTTTCTTGTTTGGTGCATCTCCTTCAATGTTCTTGGTTCCCTTCTTTTGTAGGTGTATACACTCTAACTGTAGACTACACTGTACTGTTAGATTGGAACATATTTACTCAATACATATTCTTTTGGCAAACTCTTGATTTTCTTAATACATTTGTTTTATTCAGAACTGATCCATTCTAAAACTTTATGCTTTATGAAAAAACTTGAGGTTCTATTTTTGGCAAGTTCAAAAATTATTGGAAAAGACAAATACAATAGTGACAAGGCAGAAATTTCTACAATTACAATACAACTAGTACAGTGGGGTTTCTGAACTTTATTTAATGAAAAAAGCATAAAGCAGTTAGTAGGTAAAAAAAAATCCCCTTTTCGTATTTCAAAAGGCCATGCATTCTTCTCAAATATCCTTTGAATATGTTTTTCTCTAACTCTACCTATATATATAACTATAAAAGGCAATAGTAGTTTTTTTTCTACATTCACATCCAATATTCTATCCCATTTGGAGTATTTGTATTGTTTTCAGGTATAAAATTTTTGACTTTGGATTAATTTATTATTAATTAATTAATTAATTCAGAATAATAGCTTTATGGATCAAATGAATTCAGAAAAAATTCAACAAAAAAATATTCAACTACAATACAATTGTCAATTTAAACAATCAAAAAACTCTAATGAAATTGCTCTATCTGCTCTGAAAGCAAATAGAGACATGTCTACTTCTCCTTCTAGCTATACTAGTTATATAGCCAATTCTACAGATATAGTTATTATAAGTCATCCACTAAGCAGGATAATAATACAACAGCCACAATCATATATTCCTGATAACTTGGTAAAGTAAATTATTTTTTAATATTTCACCAAAAAAATATGTTTTTTTTTTTAGTTTTTGAGTATAGTCGCCATATTTTTTTGTTTTTTTCTTGGAATTATCTCATTAATTCTAAGTATTGGAAGCAGAAATGCAAGAGAAAAAGGAAATTATGCAGAAGCGAGAACAAAATCTTCTTTAGCAAAATATCTTGCATGTACTTCAATCATTTTGGGATTAACTACTAGTATTACTGTTTTAGTCATAATATTTGTAATACAAAAATGACAATAAAATAACTACACCAAATGTTGAAAAAATTTCTTAGTAACATTTAACTATATAGCAAACACAAAATTACAATTAGGCTTAGATCATAAGTTTACCATCTCAATAAATGGAATTTTATTTAAAAGTTCTGTTTTTTGGTTTAGTGTCTGGTTGCCCCATTTCTTGCCTTTTTTTGGAATAGTAAAAGAGATGGTAGAGTTGAGTTTTCTCTGTCAGCTAATGTTTTATTGAAAACATCAGCTGTGTTAAATATGTAATAATGGTTTGCAGTCAAAGTTCACTTAGTCTAATTTCTGGATATAGATATAAACATTTTAATAATTGGATGTTGTTGAAAAAGCCCACAGTTTTGTGGTTTTACCCTAGCCCTAACCCAGCCCTGGACAGTGTTTTCAGCCCTTAAAATTGTTCCTAGCCCTTAGTTTGGACCCACCTAATTACAAATCAATTGCTTAAATGTTCTTCCTAACCCATTCCCAAACCAAAATCTCACCCCAAAATAACTCCAAAATGGGCGTTTCAACAGCTCCCATCTAATTCATATTAATCTTTAGTAGCAGGATGTTACAAGGTTCAACATTGGAGAGTAGTAGATGATTCTTTCGAATCATCTTATATCCCTTTATTTGCAAATTCAGAATTGTAGCTTTTAAAGCTACAGCTAAAGCGTTTTTTAATCACACAATGAGTCATAATCGGAGACTGCATTATTTATCAGTCCACTAACTTTTCAATAGCGGGATCATTTCTAGAAATTTCAACTTATTCAACTTAAGCTACAGAATATTTTGAGGTAATAGCGTCATCATATGTTGGTAAATCTTCCGATTGATCAAATGATTTTGGTGATTTCGATCTTTGTTCAGATTTGTCACCAGCATCCTCTGTTGTGTTTTCTATAGTTGTGAATTCAATTGATCTTGTTTCTTGATTATCATTTACTGATGACTCAGCCTTCCTACACATATTAGTCTTCTTTAATGTTAAAATGCCAAATAAACAAAATCCTATAACTGTTTAGAGAGAAAGTAAAACTTTTGTATTATGGTAATTAAAGAGATTTTATATAGTTTTTATAAACTAAGTGAACAGTTTTATATATTTAGAGATAATAAATGTTTTACCTGTGATACCACCAAAAGTGCCCAAAATTCCTCCCAAAATAGGAGCTATATCTCCTGATGAAATAGCATTATTCTTAATGAACTTGACACATTGATTTGGTTTGTAACAACCAGTTTGTCTAAAAGCTTCTTTATAACCCCACCTAATATAACACCAAGTACAATGCTTGAATGTCCTTCATGTCCTATGGGATTGAGATGGAATGGTTTAATTATAATAGGAGAAGGAAAGTAAAGGAAGATAGAAAAAAGAGAATAAAATGACAAACTTAGGACTTTTTGTAAGACAACTTGGGTTTTTTCCACACAGTCCAACAGATGCCTTTGAAAGAATTGAGAATTGCTTCATTAATGGAACAGAGCAGAATGTAATGTTCTCCCTATAATAACAATTTCAATACTTTTGATCTGATAAAGAAATTAAAAGATGTATAAGAACCTTTGACCTAATTGGCAAGAATTAAATTCTTTAAGAATGAAACAAGGACATTGGCATTCCATATTTTCTAAGCAAGTGGACATATTTACTTTGCAAATTGAGCAATATGTAGCAAATGATTTCTCTTCATTCCTATTAATTATTATTAAAATTGCATTTGAATTTCTTATCTTTTGAATAGAAAAGAATCTTCCAATATACTTTTCACTATCAATTATGACCTAGTTGGAATATTCAAGTTGTGTGAATCAATGCAAACTTTTGAATAGCTTTACTCACCTTCCAATAAATTTGATTTTTCAAGTTTATAGTGTTCAGGCATTGTCCTCTCTGTAGAATTTTTTTTAAAATGAGCTCTGTTGATAATCTGGGTTCTACTGATGTTATATGCTTATATAAATATGTATCATTTGCATTCTGACCAGCTTGTTTATAGCTAAGCATTAAACCAGTGTCATCAATCATTATACAGCTGTATGAGCTTAATTGACAATTTAGAATGAACTTTTCCATTGTATAATAGAAATAACCAACTCTGATTTCTAATCCCATAACTCCAAGCACATTGTCTTGACTCATATGATTGCCATTCTGACGTCCTTCATATACAACATGACTCAATGTATTAACCTAATCAGTCTGGATATTGTTCTTTGCAATTGGAGATATAACTATTTTACCCTTATGGAACATTGTTTTCTTGTACCAAGATTGTTGTGTTGGTGTGAATTTTCTGGCCAATTCATAGCCAGGAAATGACTTAAATACACCCATTTTTGAGCCATAAAAACATGATAGGAGATTAAGTTTCTAGAGGACTCATTAGAACTCAAGTATTGATTGGGTTTAAGAAACAATTCTGGACCAAACTTTGTTGTAGTGCTATTTCTAGCAATTATTTTATCTTTGTATCGACATCCAATTGCTATCCTGTGATAATCCAACTGATAATAATTGGATAATCTAAATTCATTTTCTGTTAAATAGTCATTTTCTGTTGCCACAAAACAAATCATAAATCCAAATTCTTTGGTCCGCTTCCAATAATATTTTGATTGGACATATTCAACATCTACTCCTTCATATATAGAATTACCAGGTGACTTTATTCTCTGTGTCACTGCTGCAAAAGATCCTTCTTTTGAACTAATAGAGAGAGAGACAGAGATATTATAATTTGTTGCAACAATTTGAATTACCTTATCATTTGATCAATTTGATGAGATTCAAGTTGAGGTTCAAATAAATTGAATGGTAAATATGTTACAGTATCAAAAGTATGAAAAAATTTAGGGAATAGTTGATGTAATAATGCACGATTGGTTGACTCAGTTAAAAATAAATATAAAGATTCACCACCAAGAAAAAACTCAATATCTGAAAATATATCTTTAATATTCACATCAATACGTGCTACACCCAGAAATCCAAAAATCCATATAGGCTTACAAAATGACGCCAAAACACCAGCATATTTGTCATAAAATGGAGAAGTGACAAAAACATCTTTATTTTTATTGCTATCTTTTAAAGATTTGTAATAAGTTGCCACTTCATATTCCAGTTTATCAACATCCTTTACAAGTTTGAAAAATCCTTTCTGTTTGAAATTTGTATTATGCTTGAATGAGTTAGTTGAAATGTCTTTTAAAAATTCTAATGTCTCATTATTCATATCTGTTAAAATAAACAACAAATGTTATTAAATTCTGAGAAAATTTTGACTTGATTTAAGAAGATTTGGTGTTGTTTTTTTTTTTAATTTCTACTTACTATTTCCAATGGCATATGTAAAAATTGGACTATTAATGGAGTTTTGAATAGATTGTTGAACAGTTGAAATATCAGACTTCGGTGTTGAATATGTTATGAAAATGATGAGTCTTTCTGAAATACTTTTGTGTAAGCTTTAATTGATACAAAGCAATCAGAAAGCAAACCTCTGGGTTCTTTATTTAATGGTGTATTTAAAGGTGATGAGGAATATAATGAAAAGGATGTGTTAAATGCATCAATGTAGTTGGAAGTTCCTTGAGGAGTGAGTTGATGAATGAATTTATGAAAAATTCTCTTGTTATTTGGTCTGACAAACAATAATTTATTGGTAGGGCATGTTTTATCATGAATAAAAGGGTTCAAAGGTGAACTGGACATTGCAACTAGAGCAAGTCTATCCTCAGCATTCAATGTATTAGTTAAAGTCTCCAATGCCTCTTCAATATAACTTTGAATCTTTCGATTTTGAACTGTGTCGGTTGTCTTTTCTATGTGAAAAAAAGAGTGTATGATAAAAGCTATTTCGAATTACAATCAATATCATACCTGAATTATCAAAAATCACAACAATGTCCTTCTTAATGGGATTAGTAGCCTGGGAATACCAAGATTGATATCTATGATCATTTGTTTTTGGCCATATTATTTTAGGAGCTGATATTATAACAACACCTTCCTCAGTACCAATATATTGACCTTTAATAAATTCATATTTTTTCTCATTTTCCTGTATTAAATTTCTTATTTCAAGGGTTGGAACTTTAACAAGATTCCTTCTCTCCCTCTTTACAATGCAAAAACTATTGTTATTGGATGCATCACAACTGCTTGGTATATTCAGTGTTTCATAAAATTTATAATAGTTGTCTTCAATAATCTTTGATAATTCTGTTATAGCAATTTTGCGTCTACTCAATTTGTACTCAATTGAGTTCAACAACTGAAAAAAGAAATTGATTTGCTAATTAAAAAAGATTATTATATTGTTTACCTTTTTAAGCACTTCCTGGCTGTTTGAGGTATCCAGTAAACGCTTTTTATACAATACATTTGTCTCTTTGTCCAAATAATTCTAGAACAAATGGTCTATTAATGCTTTTATTATTTTCGTTTATTGATCTTTAACACAAATATTATGCAAATATCATACCTGATAGGCTGATAAACCTAGCTTGTTGTTGAGTAAATTCACAAGTTCATCCTCGAATTGTTTTGTATCACAGAACACTGTTACTATGGTTACTGTTAATATAGTGAATGTCTTTTTTAATACTGTTTTCATTGTAGAGGTTTATCCTCTTTCAATCAATTTTATATCTCAGAGTGATTCAGAGTGTTCTTGATTGGTTTTGCGATCAATAATGTAATATTATTATTATAAAGCGCCATCTGTCCTATTAGTAATATTTTCTCTAAAGTAGTTAAAATTTTTGCAGCATTGACAATTTCTCTATGCATGATTAATAAACTAAGAGAAGTGCACATTGCAAAGAAGAATCGCAAAGCTATAGTAAATCTGTATCTAGTTGGATATCATAAGCAATTGCAAAATAAAAATATTTTCACCCTAGTCACAATAATGCCTTTGTACTATTTAAAATTTAGACCTCTGCCTTAATTTTAACAAAAATAAATTACAAAAATATTTAGTAACAATAGCCTTCTTCTATTTTTGTGTTATAGTCATTTTATTAAAAGATTAATAATATTCAAATTTAAGTTGCTAAATTTGATATATGGTTGCATATAGTAATTATATGTTGAAAACATTTGCAATTTAGAAGTACGATGTCCATAAGTAGGTGGCAGTTTTACTTAAGCAAACAATCAGAAAATGGTATTTTAATAACCCAAACAGCAAAAAAAGAGATACTTCAAGTGTACATATGTAATGTTTTTAATATTTCTTCTCAAAGTAATTATACAAAAATTTTCTAAGAATGTTCTTAAAGTTGGCATAAGAACAAAATTTCTACAATCTGTTAATTCAACTCCAAACAAAGTCCATTTATTCAATTTATTTAACAATTCCATTAACACTTATAGAAATGAAATTATACTGTATGAAACTGGAGAAAACATTCACAGTTCTACTTTTTTTACCCTATATATAAATTACTCATAAACAAACCATATTGTGCAATTTGGGTACTGAAACACACTTTAGCCTGGAAACAATTAAAGACTGGCAAATTGATGTTTTCGCGATCAAAGAAATACTTTAACTTAGAACTAAAGTTTAAAATCTATATAAATTAGCCAATTCAAGTTCTTATAGAATTATTTTTCACCTAAAAAGGTGCTGATTTTAAGAATGTTTTTCAGTACTTTTTGTTATTCATGTACAATATAAAACAATTTGTTGAAAATTCTCCAAAAAGGTTTAACAAATGGCTAAATTTCAATAATTTTTGCTTATCTCTTTTAAAGGAAAATGCTATACATCTTAGAACTAGAAAATTATATCAAGCTACAATCTCATATGAACAAGGCAACAACATTTATTTAAGTAATTGATGGACATACAAAAATTTCATAGACAAGCCCTTTTTTCGGTTGATTTTTTATATTTAAAAGTAGATCATACAACAGATTGATAATCATCTATGTATGGATATTTTTTTCAGTTACATATGAAAATAATAAAGAAATATACATAAAATTGAATAATTTCAGAAATTAAAATTTACACAATACAGAAAATTACCTTGTCTCAAAAATACTAACCTTTCGAATAAACTTTATTCTATATAACATAAAAACTACAGTATAGAGTCTTTAGCAACAGATTGGAGTATGAACTTTCCTGTGACATTATACACTGTATTGTTAGATTGGTACTCATTTACTCAATACATATTCTGTCAGCAAAACTCTAGTCTTTTCTTTAATACAATTGTCTTATTAAGAACTGAATTTATACTTTGTATTTTAAGATTGAACTTGATATTCTATTTTTGGCAAATTCAAAAATAATTGGAAAAGATGAATGCAGTAGTGACAAGGCAGAAATTTCTACAATTACAATACAACTAGTATAGTGGGGTTTCTGAACTTTATTTAATAAAGGAAATCATATAGGGTTTAGTAGGCAAAAAAAAAATCCCCTTTTCATATTTCAAAAGGATGACTCATTCTTCTTAAATATCTTTTGAATATCTCTCTCTATATATATTCTCAACTTTAAAAAAGCAATAGTAGCTCTATTTCTTAATTCACATCCAGTGTTTTATTGCAATTTAGAAGATTTATATTGGTTTCAAATATAAAATATCTGAGTGTGAATTATTTAGAAGAAAAGGTTTACAGATAAAATGAATTCAGCGAAATTTCAGCAAAAAATTATTCAACCAGCATGCAATTATCAATCAACAAACTATAATGAAACTACTTTATCTTCTTCTAAAGGAAATAGGGACAAGTCTGATTGTCCTCCTGGCTCTATTACTTATATTGCTAATACTAATGATATAATTATTACCAGTCATCAACAAAGCAGGATAATAATACAGCAGCGACAACCACATATCCCTGATAATTTGGTAAAGTGAATCATTTTTTTTATAATACTTTGGAAGAGAGTTTTTTTTTTTTAGTTTTTGAGTATAATCGCCATATTTTTTTGTTTTTTTCTTGGAATTATCTCATTAATTCTAAGTATCGGAAGCAGAAATGCAAGAGAAAAAAGAAATTATGCAGAAGCGAGAACAAAATCTTCTTTAGCAAAATGTCTTGCATGTACTTCAATCATTTTGGGAATAACTGCTGTTATTACTGTTTTAGTTATAATATTTGTAATACAAAAATGAAAATAAAGTAACTAGACAAACAATTTTTAACGTTTTCCAGTCTACGGTTTTCAAAAAGCATCTATTTCAAACTGAAGTGAACATGCTCTAGATCAAAATCGAGCCAAAGTTTGAAATATGGAATTACAATATTCTCTACTCAAATCAATAGAGAATGTTTTACAACCCAAGAAAACATGTTTGTCTCTAAACAAAAATATTTTTGGACCTTTAGTCTCTGGACATTTTATGTTCCTTGTGTAGACATTTTGGGGCCTACAGAAAACGTCCCCAAGTGATTTATTTGAAAGAAAAATGGTTAGGGTTAGAAGCTTATTTTACTCATTACAAATAGTGTTGTGATAAACCAGAATTTCTTACAAAGTAAAATTATGAGGCGTTTCTTCGTCACAAAAAAATAGTTCCTTAATTTCTGTTTACAAGGTTTTTTAAAAATAGAAGACTATAAGTTACAATTTTAAAGTTCCTTTCAAAAGTGATGTATCTACTAAAGGATAAGAGATTGTTAGCATTTTGTCAATGCTACAAATTTTTACTTTTTATCGAAGTAATAAATTTATCAATGCTGTAAATTAATGTTACCACTCTCTATCAAAAGAGAAAGATATGCTTATGAACGTGAATAGGATATATTGTTTAATGAGTATTTTCTTCAATGCAATATATTGTAATACAAAAGTTTTTATGATACTTGCAGGTATTCTAAAAATAATTTACTGACCTTTTGCACAACTATAAATATAGTTGGTTTTAAAACAGAAATATAGAGTTAGAAAGTGAATACTTGAAGAAAATGCAGAAATTCTTTGTAGTTTTACTAAATATAATTCTACTGCAAAGTTCATTGCAAACCCTTCTGCTGAATGAAATAAATTATTCAGAATATTATACAGAGATTAAGAATGCTGGATCAAGTCCTGTAAATTTAACTTCAACTTACATTTCTACGATACATCTTAGCAGTGGTACACCTAGAATGAAGTATATTCATTTAAATTAGCTGGTACCTTACAACCAAACGCCTATTTATTAATTCAGTATCAATCAGATTATTTCTATAGTCCAGGAATTCACCCAAAAACAGCAATTTTAACGAATGGTATGTATATGAATTCATCTTAGCAGTCTTATTGTAAACTTTGGCAATATTTCCAATATTTCCAATAATGTTGATATTTTTTGGTACACCAGCAAATTTCTCACAATCTGATATAATTGATGCTATAGTTTTGGCAGATTCCGTTACAGATAATCCTTATTCTTTTATAAATTGGTCTGGCGATGTTATTGTAGTAGAATATGAACTTTATAGTAGATGCTCTGACATACAATTTACAGCTAGTTCCTTTTAAGGTGATACAGAACCTACACCAGAAGGTGAAAATGATTGTCCTCAAGGTAAGCTATTTCCTATTACTTTCCTATTATTAATCTCATTAATATACATTTATATATAGGATCACAGAGTGACCCACATTTACATCAAAATATTGTTGATTCAAAAACCTCAAAGCTTTATCAAATCTCTTATGATGTTGTTGGCCAATCTGGCCAATCAGTTTTTCTTCTGAGTGATAAAGATTTGAAGGTGAAGGTTGAAGGAATTCTAAAACATGATTATTCCATGCACGAAGTCTTGATAACAATTAATGGTAAAGTAATTAAAATTAAAACATATGTTGTAATTTTTTCAAATGAAATTATTGAATGGAATTATAATAAGAAACCAAAAGTCACTAAATCTGAACAATATTTTCTTATGTTATCCAAAAATAAAATTGAAATATCTTTAAGAAAGAATCTTACAAATCTAAAAATACTAATTTTAAAAGAAGACAAATCCTTGTTGGGTCCTTTTCTAAATGTCCAATTTAACAATGTCAACATTTTGACTACCATCTATGGAGGACTAATTGGAGATATTGGAAGAAAAAATGTCAATGTTATTCCATCTGCTCAGGATTATACTAGGGCTATTTTTGATATTGATGGAAAGTATGTTAAAGCAATAAAAAAGATTAGATATGGAAAGAGTTGCTGGTTTTTACAATTCAAAGATTTAATATCTGCTGAAGAAATATCAAAATATATATATTGGAATTTTCATTTTCTTTCAAGGACTTTAAGAAACTAAATTTTTTTTAAAAATACTCAGTAGACCTAATACAGATGTAAATATCTATATACTTTAATTCAGACTATTGATTCATAATATTTTACAATACACAATACAAAAACAAAAAAAGTGTTATAAAAACTGACCAAAATGCTATCTAAAAGAAATTCATATATAAATCCAAATTTAAACTAAAGTAACATGAGCTTCTAGTTATAAACAAGTAAGTTTAAACAACAAACTAACAGACTAGAGAACTGAACTATCAATGGCTGATTTTGAAGGATTTATATACTTTTTTAACAATTGATAGTTTGACAAAGAAAAGTTGTCAATATGTTAGTGTATTTATTGTTTTCCTCTATCAAATGGCATTTAAATTTTAAAGATTTGAAAGTTGCCTTATAGATCATTTAATAGAAATCAATGTATCATTTTCAATATATTAGAGAAAAGTTCAATCTGCAACAATGTTTTATAAAATTCTCAATCTCTCTAAATTGTTCTTCATGTAACTCACATGACATAAAATCAAGAGTCAACAAAGAATTTGATGACATTTTAAGGCCTTCACATATTTTTGATATTCCATCACCCATCTTTGCATTTGCAGATATATTTAATGTTTCTATTCTGGAACAATGTTTTAGTAAACTTGCAAGTTCTCCACTTTGTTTTTCATCTAAATTGCAACATTCTAAATAAATATTTTTCAAAGTGTATGATGACAATTCAAGTCCTTTAAGAATATTTAATAATCCATTACCCATCTCTTCATTCCAAGATAAACTTATTGTTTCTATTCTGGAACAATGTTTTAACAAATTTGCAATCTCTCTACTATGTTCTTCATTTAGGTTACATCTTTCAAGATAAACATTTTTTAAAGTATTTGATGACATTTGAAGACTTTCACAAATATTTAATATTTTCATATTCATCCCTTCATTTCTACATAAATTTATTGTTTCTATTCTAGAACAATGTTTCAATAAATTTCCAACCTCTCCACTTTCTTTCAGATTTAACTTACACAAATTAAAATTAAGACTCTTTAATGTGTTTGATGACATTTTGAGTTCTCTACAAATATCAATTATTCCATTACCCATCAGTCTATTTCCAAATAGATTGATTGTTTCTATTCTGAAGCAATGTTTTAGTAAATATCCAATCTTTTTACTTTGTTTTTCATCTAAATTGCAACATTCTAAATAAATATTTTTCAAAGTATTTGATGACATTTCAAGTCCTTCACATATTTTAGATATTCCATTGCCCATCTTTGTATTTGCAGATATATTTAATGTTTCTATTCTGGAACAATGCTTTAGCAAATTTCCAATCTCAGTACTCTTTTGTTCATTTAAACAACAATTCTTCAAATAGAGATTTTTCAAGACATTTGATGACATTTCAAGTCCTTTACAAATATTCAATATTCCATTACCCATATTTTCATTCCAAGTTAGATTTATTGTTTCTATTCTGGAGCATTCTTGTAGCAAATTCCCAATCTCTTTACATTGTTTTTCATCCAAATTACACAAAGTTAAATCTAGATTTGTCAAGGTGTTTGATGACATTCGAAGTCCTTCACAAATATTCAATATTCCACTACCTATATCTTCATTCCTAGATAGATTTACTGTTTCTATTCTGGAAAAATGTTTTAGTAAATTTCCAATTACTCTAAATTGATCTTCATTCAAAAAACAACCCTCTAAATGGAAATTTTTCATAGTATTTGATGACATTTTAAGTTGTTCAGAAATGTTGAATATTCCATTACCCATCTTTTTTTTTCAAAAAGAAACTTACTATTTTTTTGTCTCTGGAACAATGTTTTAACAAATTTTCTAATCTCTCTACTCTGTTCTTTGTTTAAATGACAGCAGCATAAAAATCAATGTTATTCAAAGAATTGAAGGACTTTTGCAGTCCATCACAAATGTTTAACAATCTTTAATTGTTCAATAAACCTAAAATATTATGTACGTTGACAAGGATCATTTCCTCTCTATGATTTAAAGATATTTATTAATTAATCATATTGTTTGGGCGCCATTTTGAAAACATGATTGATTTTATTTGCTTAAATTTTTATATTACATATTTAGAGATATGTTTCATATTTTTCTTTTTGAAAAGTTTTAAGATAATATAAAAATCATGAAACGATAAATAAACTAAATAAATTAAATCAAAAAGCAATTTTAATAATGGGTATTACTAAAACGTGGATCCAACTGTAGATAGACAATGCTAAGCTGATATTAAAAAATGCCGTTTTCTAACAACATACATTATGAGCTTCTTTAAAAATGCTATCAAGAAACTATGTTTCAGTTGACGAAACAAGTTCGATTTGTTTATTTATTGCAAATATTATAATGCGAAAGCCACTTTCATTAATGTCTTTTCTTAGAATTTGTCAGGCAAATTTTTTCTACTAAGTCCAAAAATTTCAGTAAATTTCATTCTCCTCAGAATTTGTAAGAACAGGATATATAGATTTCCGAATTTTATCAAGTAAAACATATACCAATTTCTCCAAAGGAAACTCAGCTTTCATTGATAATTTGGAAAATATCCTCTGACAGACCAAATTCATTTTTAATTGTTCAATAACCATAGCATTTTGAAACAAATTCTTTATTGAGTTGTACAACATATTTTTCACAATTGTTTGAAACTTTCAAAATATCACTTTTCTTCCATTGATAAATTAGACAATAAATGACAATCAATGCAGAAAATAAAATATTTGAATGGAACATTGATATCCATTGTTTAGAGCAAATTCCTCAAATTTATTTATTATAAAACCACTCCAATGTACTGGTCTTACTGGAAAATCTATGCTTTTGCAAGTTATAACAATACTGGTTCTACTCGAACCTTTTAAACAAATGTTTAAATTAAAATGGTTTATTCGCAATAATAATACTTAAGCAAGTAACAATATGAGAGTTCAATAGCAGAGTAGATAGTTCGTAATAGCAGGTTGCCAAATTACCAAACTGTCTTCCAATGTTGAGGAGTAGATGAATGGTTCCAGTGGAGGTTGTTTCCAGGTTATCTTCCCAGGTCCTTGGGTCCAGATGGAAGTTGCATACAGACTGAGAGTAGTGAGGATTTATATACTTTGAGGTTTGCCTCTGACATCCAATCATTACTCTACAGTTGCTGAAATGTGCAGTTCATATTTTATCTTTAGTAACAGGATGTTACAAGGTTCAGCATTTAGGAAGGTTAATTGAATTATAACTTGGCCAAACCTTTATTGGTAATTAAAGATGAGCCTTCAAGCTGACTAATCAGACTTATGTTTGGCCAATGTTATAGCATTTTCTCGCTTTCTTTTTTGTCTTTTGATGTATAAATATACTTGTAGTAGGCCTGAGAAAGAAAATGAAAACTTCCTGTTGGAAATATAACTATAAAGAACAATTTAAATATGCATAAAATATTGAATAATATTTAAAATTTACATGTACTAGTGTAAATTTCAGAGTAATAGTATAGTAGAGATATCAAACTCCACATCTTGCAACATGCTCTTTGATACAAAAAGTGAGATCACAATTGTCTGTCCAATGTAAATGTTGGCATTTTTCCAATTCATACTGACAATCTACATTTGAAATTTTTTTGCAAAAATATTTGTTATATTAAAAATAATGACAAACCTTTCCCACAAACATCATTTTGGAATGGTATTTCATCATATATTTTTTTACTACATATTGATGACCTTTTCATACAATTTATGTATTCACATTTAACACTAATTATGCAATATAATATCAATGGAAATGTCTTAAATTCTCAAATCAATAAATTTTCTTTTAGAATACTCTTTTCAAAACTAAAAGACACATGTGAAAACAATGAAAGGATTCTTATATTTGGAACAGACTGTCAGTTTGAATTGTTGAGTAAATCAGGGCATTGGTTTGTTGATGGAACATTTAAAATCGTAAAAGAACCATTTTACCAATTATTGACAATCCAATGTTATGTGAAAAAGAATGGGAACATGAAATATGTGCCCCTGGCCTTCATTTTCATGACATCAAAACACAAGAGAGTTTATAAATTGACATTTAAAGTAAGTGTAATAACTAATTCTATTTTCAGTTTGTTAACTTTTAAATAATTTTCTGCAGACTATTAAGAAAATGATTAACATGTCAGAGCCTGAAAAAGTCACTTTAGACTTTGAGATGGCACTATGGAAGACAATAACAAAAGTTTTTCCAAATATAACAATACATGGATGTGTTTTTCATTTCACTCAAGCAATTTTTAGGAAAATTCAGGTAGATCTAACATTTAAATTAATATCTTATGTCATAATTAAGTTTTTATTATCAGTCTCTAGGATATTCCAAATTATATATGGAGAAAGGAGAAGAATGGAGAGTTCTAAGGAAAATCATGGCATTACCATTTCTGCCATCTGATACCATCATTTCAACATTTGGCAGACTCAAGTCTAAACTTTTGCAACAACAGAAATTTTCTGACCTACTGTTGTATTTTGAAAACACATGGATATGTAATTCTATGTGGAAACGTGAAAATTAGTCAGTGTTTGGTCTATCTATTAGAACAAATAATAGTCTGGAGGGTTGGCACAACAGGATGAATAGTCAAGTGCATTCAAAAGGCTTAATCTACATATTAGTGGATGAACTGAAAAAAGAGGGAGATTTGATGATTATCTATGAAAAGGTGATGTCTGATAAACAAATATACAGTATAGGCAAAAAGTCCCCAGCCACCTTGTAAGATTTTTAGTTTTGATATTAAGATATACAAAATAACTACTTTTAATTGATAATAATACTGATTAATATGTATAAGCTTTAGAAAGGCTTTTTTATTTCATAGGAAACAGATTCTTTGACAATAACAGATGTTGCATGTCAAACTTACATCTTATTCAAAAACAGATGCCAAAGAGGCAGGCTTGTTTTTGCAGTACCACATCTTAGCCAGAAGTGATGCAATGTTTTTCATGTCTTTATTATATGTGCATTGTGAGACTGTTACATTTCAACTTTGTTATCTTTTGACCAAGTGAATCCAAGCTTTGGTAAATGTATAAAATACATTTCCGCAGCTTGTCAGTTCAGTTCTTTAATGGTTAACTGGTTGTTTAAACTTACTTGTTTAGAACTAGAAACTCATTTACTCAATACATATTCTTTAAATGAAATACTGGTGTTTTGTTGATTAATTTTTGAAATTACATTTGTTAAGACTATTTGTGGACGAACTTGAAAGGTTCTAATTGGACCAGTTCTTTGGCAGATTGATAAATGATTGGAAAGGACAAATACTGTTCAGAAGAAGCAGAAATTCCTACAATTAAAATACAACAAAGTACAGTGAGAATTTCTTATTTGAAGAATTTGGTGTTTTATTGGCGCAAGGAGATCTTAAACATTTCACTTCATTGGACATAACTTTGCAAAATTCACAATTTTCCAAACATGCCATACATGTTTTAATAGTTGATGTACCACAGAAGCGGTGCAGTGACATTTTGGCCCATTTTGGACATTTCGGCCCATTTTAGGACAATTCGGTTCAGGGTATTTTAGCCAATTTGAACAAAGTTTTTTCATCAAAAAACAAGAAATATAAAAGTAATAATAAGTTTATGAATTATACTTCAGATTTGAGATATTTCAGTAGTGTATAATGACTTTTAGTTTATCTGTTTATATTTGAAAACAGAAGATAGGAAAATTAATTGATGATAAAACACACAGAAAATGTGTGCTTGATTTTGAAAAGGCAATATTGGTGGCTCTTAAAGAACAATTTCCCAATTCTGACCTTCAAGGATGCTCTTTTCATTTCAAACAAGCAGTTTTGAGGAACATTCAGGTGGATTAAATGATGATATAAAGAACATAATTAAATATTTATTTTATTAGAAACTTGGATACATTACTGATTATAAAGAAAATGGATACAAAGGAAAAATGTTACAAAAATTAATGTGTTTGGCATATCTGCCTTCAAATTTTATTGAACAAAAGTTTGACCAACTAAAAGAAGAACTTTGTGAAAAGAAATTGTTTACAGATTTGCTTGAATATATTGAAGAAACATTCATTAAAAGCAGTACTTGGTTTGTGAGAACAAACAATCATGTTGAAGCATGGCATTCCAGGCTTAACAAAAACCTGAAAATGGATGAGAACTTTTATTCTCTATTAAAAGAATTAAGAAGAGAAGCTGAATTAGTAGAGATCTTTGAAAAGTTATTGTCTGAAAAAAGTTGAGAAAGATACAGAAGAAGAAGTATAAAGATTTAGAATTTAAAATATTCCAGTTGTGGAGTAAATTTGAAGAAAGAGAATTGAGTTTCAATGAATTATTGGATAGACTTGTTGATTTAAATATTTGTTAAAATTTGTTATTTCTTGTTCTGCATTTTAGTTATTAAACTTAACACTCCTTACTATTTGTAAATTGTTTTTTTTTTTATAATAAGAAAATAAACATAATTGTTCACAAAATAAAAATTATATTTGTCATATTTATCAATTCATAAGTACTAAACCTATCTTCAAGTAAGACACAATGCCTTTAGTATGACTGCCTTAGAATGGGCCGAAATGTCCTGACCCCATTTGAAACATTTCAAAATTAATTTCTTTCCATGACATGAAGTATATAATTAAATGGCGAATATGTTTATGTTATATGGTAAATTATTGTATTGCTATTCAAAATATTTGTGATAACATTAAACATTGCTATCATGGTGATGACAAAAATGGTTGTGGTGAGCAGACTTACCTATAATTTGATAATTTAAAGTAAAAACTGAACTTATAGATAATTTTTATTCGAAAAATGTATTTAAATGTTCAAAAAAGGGAATAGTAATACTTTTAGAAAAAGTTTGCGATGGTATAGTTCATTGTCAAGATGGCAGCAACGAGACATTCTGTGTATTTACAAATATACAGGCTTTTGTAAACAAATTCATAATTCAGCTACTTGAACTTCCATACATAGCTGTCGTACAAGGGCCAGGAGATTTCCCAGAAAAAACCAATAGAAACCTTTGTTCAATCTTGACCCCAGCAAATTGGAACATGTTTGAAATTTGGAATAGGAAGGTTTACAAATGATGGTATGACCATGGAGCACCCAAGCTAAACAACACAAGTTGTAGATGACACTAAATATTTTCTTCAGTTTTGATAATACTTTGACAATTAGGTGCTTGTGTTGAAGAGGAAACACTGAGTTGTTCAAATGCACTTCCTCAACTACTTTCAGTTCACCTAAAAATTTGTATCTAATTGTTTGGATTTTACAATTTGCCACTTTTAATATAGAGAAAGCCACAAATCTCAATAAAGATTTGAATAAAATTTTGACATTTGTTTTTGGTGTACAACTTTGGTTATATTTTACATGCTTGAACTCTATTATTTTATGCAACTTATACATGTACATCTTAAAATGCCATTTGTATATTGATTGTATTCTTTAGAGTAACTTAATAACAATTTGAGAGCATGCAATAGAAAATGTCCACAAAATAACCCTAACCTTAACCTTATTCATTACTCTTGATCATTGCATGGGAGCCTCCAATGTAAAAAATCAGCACTTGTCTAATTCTTACTAATCAGTTTTTAATGGCTCAACCCTTGTCTCTAAATGACCCTTTTGATTCCCTGTAAAGATTTTTAAAGTCACTATAGAAGTTGAAAAATTAAATAGTATGAAGAAGAATAATAAATCAATAAATAACATTGCAAGACAACTGAATATATTTTGTAGACAATTTTCAACATATTGCATGGGTGACATAGAAAGCAATAGGGTCTGGACAGTTGACCCCTATGATAAATATTGGTATGATTAAAATTTATCATTATATAATTATTAAATTATTACATGATATAAACATTGTATTCAAGGCTTATGTAATTCTGTGTATTTTAAACATTTGATTAATTCAAAAAAAATAAAAGTTGGAATTCATTTCAAACTTCTATTGATAAAAACTATTTAATTGCAACTTAAAAAAAAACAACTAAAAGCTACAACAGCTTTTTGAACAGGTATTCCTCTTTTTTGAAAATCGAATGAAAATTTTTAAAAATGTAGATTGTAATAGAGTAGTACAAGCATTATTATTGATCATGAATGCATTGTTTCAAAAGAGAAATAAATTTCTTTACAATACAGCATAATTTAAAATAATTTCCATAAATCTTTTCCAAATTAATTGAATCTTCAAACATTTCTGGTAATTTACCAACCTTTGGCTACACTGACCCTGTCAATAATCAGTCTGGTGATGATCTTACAGAGGCCTTTTCACTCACTTGCTGAAAGGATAAATTTTAAACTCATTATTCACATTTTTTTAAAAACAATTCACCTGTATCAACATTTTTATTTTTCCATTTTGAAAACATAATTAAAGTTCACAATGAAGAATGTAATAGACTAGCAGAGATTATCTAAGCTTTCTCTCTTTAAGAAAATCAATATAGTCTGAACTATTGCTTGGATGATTTGGGTGAAATTCTTGGAAGGGATAGATGATGATATGGACAGAAATATGGATACAAAATCAAAGACTGGTATTCTGCACTTTATCCCTGGAAATTCTCTTTCTGATTCATTTTAATATTGTAATTCGATTATGGAAATATAAAATATTAATAATAATATATATTAAATCATAATTTTTTTATTAATTTGGTAACCTATCCTGTTTCAAGATTACAATATTATGTCTGTTTGCACTGTCATTAAGTAAATTATTAACTAAATAATAAATTTCAAAAGTAATGATTTATAGATGTCAAAAAAGAAATGTATTGAATTATAACTATACAACAGAAAACGTCCCCAAATGCATGATTTAACCCTAACCCTAACCTAATCCTTGTCACTCCCTAACCTTTTTGATTACCCTTGACCCTTACATGGAACCCCCCTAACTACAAATCAATGGCTACATCCCTCGTCCTTACTATTTTTCAATTCGAAATGTTGCTCTCAAAAATTTCACTTGGGGACATTTTCTGTTGGCCCCGAATTATAATATTCAGGTAATTATTCTTTGTTCATTATTCTAACAGAATTTCGCAAATCTCCATTTTCTTAAATAATCTGAAATTTATGGATTGAGTTGGTGGACACTTGAATTTGCAGTTGTCGAATATTGAACAAATAATTTTCATACCATTTTCTTTCTGTATAAATATTTCAATGTAAGAATTGCATAAGAATGGTAATTTTGTTAGAATTTCTCCTAATTCTGCTTCCTTGTTACTGTACAATTGAATCATATGCTCAATTGGAATTGAAATACATGTTGTACTATTTTCATCTTTCAATTCCATTAGTTCATCAGTATTTAGGCAACTTGTATTTTTTGTTATAAAGAGGTCAAAGGTCATAAATTTAAAAATACATTTCAATTTTTCTAAAGTATAATGTATTGTTTCACTATAATGACCTACATCAGCAGTATGAATCTCTATTAGGGGTAAACTATCTTCTATAACACTAAATTCTCCTTCTTCTGTTTGTTCACTGCCTCCATTCTCACCAGTCATTGTACAATTCAATTGAGGATTACCATTAATATCGCATACAGTACGAACAAAGCATTTACATATTCCATGTTGACCATCATTCAAACTGGAAAAGAATGTTTTATCATAGAATAAAAGTCTTTGCCATGTTAGATCAGCTCCTTTATTCTTGTAGAGTATTCTTTGAGTACACTTTGACATTCCCTTTTTAAATTCTCTGATATCATCATCACTATAATTTCCATAAGCAATTTTATCAATGTAAAATTCTTCTTCGTATGTATCTGAAAATACCTTTTCAATTTCTCCACTGTTGCTCAGCATTGCTATACCATGTGTTGAATTTATTCTACTACATACTACATTAGCTGCTTGGCCATTTATTCTTGGTTTTATTGAGTAAGATCCATCCAATTCAGTTTTCATCAATGCTTCCCTACAAGAAACATATTCTTGAATAATTAAACAATTGAAAACTTTAATATCAATGATTAGGAAAAGAAAATTAGCAATGAAATTCATATTAATACTTGATAGACTGCTAAACACTGACTCTGACTCTGCACATTGAAATATAACACATTAATTTGTCTATATATTAAGTTCTCTTTTTTTACCTTAACAATCTTAAAACAAATATTCAAATATTTATTCAATTACTTTATATTTAAACAAATTATGTTTTATTAATAATTATAAATTTACTTGGATAATGCCACACCCCATACCAGTCTGCATGCAACAAATTTCATAAAAATTCACATCTAGCCCTGATTTTACCCTATATGATTATTACTTGTTTGCATCCTCTTTTTTCATCCAAATTTTGTTGTAATACACCCAAATTGTTACATTTCATTCATCAATGGAAAGCAATATTGAAAGAGTATTATAGAGTACTCTACACACCTAAAACTACAACATACACTATTTAAACTAAGTTGTAAAAGTATTTTACAACTTAGATGTTAACCCTAATTATTATACACATCATATTTAATGAATATTAATTATATCTTCCACTATTCTATTTATATTTGGAGCTTTTAGATTATTGTCACTTTTCAACAGTATTGTATGCACAATACTATATTGAATGATTAAGTTTAATACTTTTATCCTACCAGTCCTTTACACAGAAACATATTATCTTACACAAACAATTATTATTAATAATTTGTTGTATATTAAAACGGCATCAAGTTGACCTTTTCCTATTTTTGTGTTTTGGAATCAATCCAACTTCTATTAATAATTGTTACATCTTAGGCAACTTTCTGACCTACTAAAATAGGGAGCAAAAGTTCTCCAAGATAAAGAAAAAGTAACAAACATGGAAGTATATTTGAACTTTCCCTTTATCCAAATTGTTACATTTGTTTGTGTGAATATTTTTATCCGTGAACTGTGAACTATTGGAAAAGTATATAAACCCTACGAATTTAACAGTAGTCAGTTCAGTTTTCTAACCATCAGCTGGTTGTTCAAACTTGCTTGTTTAGAACTAGAAACTCATTTACTCAAATACATATTCTTTGAATGAAATACTGGTGTTTGTTGGTTAATTTTTACTGGAATTACATTTATTAAGACTACTTGTGGACGAACTTGAAAGGTTCTATTTGGACCAGTACTTTGGCACATTGGTAAATGATTGGAGAGGACGAATTTGATAGTGACGAGCTAGGACTTCCTACAATTACAATACAACAAAGTACAGTTCCATTGATTTTGGTGATTTTTTTCTACCATCACTATACTACAGATAGGCCGAAGTAAGTGTTAATCTGTTTTAGGCCTATTCAAAACACTCTTTTTGAATTATAATCTTCGTTAACATTATTAATATCAACATTTGATATATTGAGCAGCTTATTAACATTTTTTTTCTTTAAGACCATTCCTTAATTAAAATAACAATAGAATGTGTATTGAGTAAATGGGTTCCAATCTAAAAGTAAAGTGTATTCTACAATTAGAGATTAGAGACTGCTAAGCTTTGGACATTCACCAAAGCTTGGGTTCACGTGGTCAAAGGTTTACTTTGATGAAATGTGATGACTTTATATTTGACATGCAATAAGAAAGACTGTTGCATGCCGTTTACAATATACAATTTCCAAATTGAGGCCGCATGGCCAACATGTGTTGCTACATAACAAATCTTTCCAAAGTTCTTTCTAAAGTTCTATCATTTTATCATTGTAATTTTAATTTTTTAAATATTTTGAAAAATGTCTTCGTTTTTTCTTCATTCAAATTACACCTCCAGACAGAGATTGACTTCAAAGTGTAGCAGGGTGTTTTCAATCCATAACCCATTTTGCTATTACCAGTTAAGTCCAATAATGAACAAACATAAAATGTTTCTCCAAGAAAATTTGCTTAAACATTATTTAAATTGCACAAGACAATAGTGACTGTTTTTAAACAGTTGGAAGATAAATGCTTGGCATATACTAAAAAAAAGATTCTTAATAGGACAGATTCTACATTCCAATTAGTAACATTTTATGTGGTCGCCATTTTGATTTTGTGTAAAATATCTGATACAATTTTAGAAAACTGTGACTAATCTTTAAATTTAAACAGTAGTGAAATTTTCTAGTGCTTAAATTGAAAATGATTACAAATGGGTATTACTAAAACACAAACGATAATTGATTGATTCTTTAAAAAAAATCTTCTCTTCTTTCTACATTAATCATAGTGAAGTTTCTCATCATCTTCCAAAAAATCTCTTCTGTTCAGTTATATTTGCTGATCTAAATTTCGACAGTTTCTTTTGATGGACCCTTTTAAAAACTTTGACACTTTTACAAATCCATAAAAAAAATGACGCTGTCGCAGCTCTAGCCTCTCTTACTTGTTGTAAGTCAACGGAAGATATCATCTCCTGAGCTCTGATTATAATGCCTGGGTGAACTTTTAAGATTTTCAATTTCCTTATCTTCTTGATGATTGATTGTGATGAAACGAATTTAATATGCTTTTGACATTCATTCCATTTTTTTGATTCTGATTCCGGAATTGACAAAATGAGAAGCGCCGCTTTCATAACGGTATGTACAACAGATGGCGGTTTCGTGTAATTATGTAATTCGGCTATACATCTTTGATCCATTTTAAGTATTCTATTCTGTGATCTTTTAATCTCTTTTAAATTGTTTAATAGTCTATTAGCCTTCCAAAGTTCTTTTCTCAGTGAGTAGTTGACAGGTTCCACTGATGCAGGCTTAATAGCTTTTTTAAATTTCTTATAGTCCTTATTAGAAATTGCTCTAATCAATTCTATAAACAAATAAGAATTTGACCCAAATTCGATTAAATTAAAGTTAAAGAAAAATAAAATACCAGTTTTTATAGGATTTAGATGCATCTCTTCTTTTGTCGTGTTTGTATTTATTTCCAGTTTGAGTGCTAAATTCTTGTTATCTTGTCCAGTTTCTTCATGAACTACCTATTTGAATTAAGTTGAATAGTTTAAATAGTAATTGAAAATTGTTTAAAACTTACAACTGTTGGCTGTTCTTTGTACTCATTAATTGGTGTTTTTACTGTTTCATCAATAACTTTAGTTGAATACTCAGCATCTTTATTTTTTGTATCGCCTTTCGAATTGGTTTCTATTGCCTCTTCATCGGAAGAAGATGTTGTTAATTCAGAATCTGTATCTGTATATGATTCTGTGCTTGTGTATGATTCTGTGTCTGTACTTGATTCTGTATCTGTGTCCCTATCTATATCGCTTTGGTAGTCAACCTCTGCTTGATTATCAATATTATCATCATCATCATCTTTCTCTTTTTCATGTGTTTGTTCTCCATCAACATTTTCACCATCTTTCCCATGAAGATACTGTTGGAAAATTTTTTGATTGATTGATTGATAACATGTTGGAAGAGAAAAATCTACCATTTTTCTTATATTATAGAGAGTTTCTCTAATTTCAACATAGCAAGGAGAATTATTAATACTACTCTGTTGGTCGGGGTTGACAATATCTGTTGCAGGCCTATTCTCTTCTGTTGTTTGTTCTTCACCAATCATGACGCAGACATAAAGCTGAAATATATGAGTTATTTTTGTGTTGCACTCTCCTCCACTCTGTATTGCAGTTATATCATTTTCCTCTTCGGAATACTGTTTTAAAAATTTTTTCAAATTCAAATTCAAATTGACTAATTAATTCAGTATAAACAGAAATCTTACACTTGCTTCATCATTTTTATTCCAAAATGCTAATTCATCATCATATCTCGCAAAACCGCATCATTAATAGGCTCTGAAGTAGTCCTATCTCTTTCATTTTGTTTCCATTCTTTACAAAGCAGAGTAGAACAAAAACTAATCTCATTTGCATAAATTATTTTTATTCCAATTGTTTGACTATTTTCCCCTTTAAAAGTCTGTTGAAAATTTTCTAAATTATTTTAAAAAGAAAAATTTACAAATTAGAATTCATCTACTTTTTCAGTATCTCTATTTTTTTTATAGTTATCATATTTTCTCATGATTGCTCTCCATTAATATGATACCAAAATCTTGTATTAGGAATATTAGTTTTTCTTAATTCTCTTTCAGTTTCTTCATTAGTAGAAGAGATCTGTTTGAAAATTTTTTTATTATTATTCTTATTGTAATGTCTTTTTTGGTACTTTCCTTTTTGTGGGAAGATTCCGCTGATTCCATTTGATCCCTTTTTTCTTCATAATCAGGTGCTGTCCCAGCCATATTCTCTAGCACTTTTTTCTCTACTTGTATTTTTTTCTCTTCCTCTTCCTCCTCTTCCTCTCCCTTTTCTCCTTCTTTCTTTTCCTCTTCCTCCTCTTCCTCTCCCTCCTCCTCTTCTTCTTCATTTTCCTCTTTTTCTTTCTCTTCCTCTTCTCTCTCTTCTTCATTTAGAAGTGTTTCATCATCATAAACATCAGAATGTGACAGTTGAGCAGTTGTATGAAAATCTTTATACCTTAGAATTTCAGAGAAATGTTGAGTGCGTTTTGAATATGCTGCGTCTATAATTAAATCTCCTAAACCTCTACAAACTTGAACATAACAAGTCCAAATATCATTTTCAGGTGTGAAATTTATTATATCTTGACTATTTTCTGTTAAATAAGCTCTAATACCATAACCATGAAATCCTGAAATCTGCAATTTTACAGTTTCTCCATAATAAAGTTTTCCAAGCCTTTCAATTAATTTATGGTTGTTGTTGGATAACAAAAGACACTTTCACTTGTTTCAATAACATAAAAATAGCAAATATATATTAAATTGTTGTCTTTAATAGAATTTATCTCATTTGCATAAATAAGACATTTATACATTCCTTTATATGGAAAGTTGATAAAAAATTGAACATATTGAACAGTATTTTCAATAAATGTATATTCATTACAATCAATTTCATGTTCATTTTCATTGAAATAAATTAATTTTATATCAAATTGACTTGATTTTGTTTTGTAAAATTTAAAATTAATTGAATTTCTACATTGTTGAAATGAATTGAAATTCAAATCAATTTTTAAATCAATTTAGTTTTCCAATTTTTGAAAAATGATGATCTCTTGGAAAGATAATTTTACATTTAGGTGTCTTATTACAAATTGCCATAAAGGAACAAATTGGATGGTAGACTATCTCTATCGGTTTTTCACTATTCTTCCTACAGAAATTCAATAAACTGCAACAGTTATTTTCGTATTTAATTCTCTCTTCTATATAAATGTTAATACCGTATTCGCCAACAAGATGGAAAAAACAATTTAACAATTACAATGCCATTTTCAAATGTTGTTATGCAATATTGTTTTAATGTTGTTGAATTGTATTTTAAGCTTGTAAGATCAACGTAAAATTGATAATCTTCATCATCAACTTCGAAGCTGATTTCGGCAAAATTCTCATCGGTATTGAATATTCCATTTGCAGGGGATAAATTTCTTGGATTACCAATTGGGGAATGATAAATTCTTCCAAGTTCAGTATTTTTCACTGTAGGAAAAGGATTGATTTTTTCACTTTCTTGTTGTTTTGTATACTGAATCTTGTAGTGCAAACATTTCTGCAATTCTGTTTTAACATTCTGTAAACCTGCAAAAAGTTTTAGTTTGTAAGTTGTTGTTTTAGGTAACCTTAGATGTATAATTAGTAAATTTTCCATTCTATTCTGATACATTGCAACATAATTTTGTGGATTAAAATTTCCATTCATTATCTCCTGTTGAACTTTCGGTAATAATTCAATATGGAATACTACAGGATGGTTTGTATTTGTCTGAATAGTAATTTTATTAATAGCACTCTCAGTGACGATTACACCTCTTGGATGAGAGATAATACCAAGTTTTAATTGGAAAAAGATGGATGGAAGATATACAAGATCCTCAAATTCTTTAAAAGACACTTCCCTAGCTAATAATTGATACTTTGGATCATTTGGAAAATGATCATTTCTTCAGGATTTCTAAGAAAATAATTATCATTGTATTGATAAGTAAATTTTCCATTATCTATCTGTTGTTTCGAGGCAAATTCAATATCGCAGACACCGTAACTGATCTATATAAATTAAATTCCAACTACTACTTAAAAAAGGGTTAACTTCCTGTTGACACTCATCCCAATCTGTTTTAATAACACCTTCAACTTCTTGACATAAAATATTGGCAAAATTACAAATTATCCCAAAAATTTCACTATAAGATAATTTATTTTTCCATACTCTATATAAGAAATAAATCATTCCATCTTCCCTCGTATTATTTTCCTACGAAATTCTATCTAGATTGAGCGATGTCAACCAACGAAATAGAATTCTAATTTGGAATATTTCGTCGTGTTTATAATTTTCAATTACAATTTCAACAACTTCCTTTGGTGTTTTACTTAAAAATGTTGTAGAATTGTTTAAAATAGCAAATTGATCTACCTGAGAAAAATCATACATTTTCAATATTTCATCTTTTGTATATGGATTTTGATATATAGATTCATTAGATAATTGAAATTGTTGATTTTTAACAATCTCTAGCCATTCAACATTTGCAAGTCTAAGATTAACATTTGTTGGAAAGTCAATATTTTTAAATTGTTCTTCAAAATATTTTTTTATTCTTTCAAATTTCTTTTTAATTTCTGTAAAAAATTTTTTAGAAATTCAAAAAACACCAATTTTTATATTTATATATAAGTAGTATATTAAAATTTGTTTGTTTTTTTTTTATCTGGTACTAAGTAGATTAGAATAACAGTTCTTGAAGAGAATATTGAGAAACTACTCATACTTTTGTGTCTGGATACCTTTTCTTTTCATTCAATAGGTTCTATAAAACTATTTATATCAGCAAAAAAATTTTTTCTAGAGAGATATCAACTTAGAAAGTAGAGAATTCTTTTACTTTCATTCACATTTATTGAGCTTAAAGGTACTCAATGAATTATTTAATTATAAATGTTTATTAGTTTCTGCTGATAACATTTTATCACTAACTTTTTTTTAATTGAAATTTCTGTAGAGAAATTAAAAAGTAAATTTTGAATTATCAATTGAAGTAGCCAATAAATGATTAAACACCATTTAATCACAACTTTTTAAGGCTCTTATCATCTTATCATATTTATAGATATTTGAATATTGTATTCACATAGGTTGATATAAACTGTCATAAATTCAACTTCTTCCTGTTCAGGCCTACATCAGCTGAAAAATATTAAAACAAAATTTTTTCTAATCCTAGTGTACAACTTTCGTTATATTTGATGCTTATACTATGCTACTATATACCAGGGACTGGTCGAAAACGGCCATAAATGAAATATTTGAAAGTTAGATTTCAGCCTGGGAAATGGTTAGGAGGAATAAGATAACTGTTGATATGTTCTTAGGAGGGTCCCATCTAAGGGTTAGGGCTATTCAAAAAGGTTACGCAAAAACAAGGGCTGGGTTAGGGTTAGGGTAAAACCATAGATTTATGGCCGTTTTCTACCACATCCTATATACCACTTATCTATGTATGTACTTTTCTCAAGTGTTGAACTTTGCAACATATTGTTCCTAGACCACCAACTGCAAAGTGCTGATTGGATATTGGAGACAAACCTACAAGTATATAAACCCTCATTAAGGGAGTTGATTCAGGACTGAATGCCTGTTACTACCTACACCCTGCTTTTATACAATTCCTTATCAGTTGTTTATGTCTTAGCTGTCAACAACAAGGGTCTAACCCCAGATAAGGGTTGTTCACAACAAATAGGGTCAAGGGTTATCAAGTTATGCAATAGTGATGTAAACAACAACAACTTTGTGTAGGTTAACCCTCAAGGGTCATTTGTTACATCATATTCATGTAAATAAACAACTTGTTGTTGTTGTCAACATGTTTGGTTATGTAATATCTTATCCTTTGCCTATAAAAGGTGTTGATTCTGGCAGTTCGGTACCATCTACCCCAGAGGCATCATCTACTTAAACACTTCTACCATATGGTAAGTATTATTCATAAAATATTTATAAACTATAGTTCATAAGTGTACATAAAGCATTTAAATTAAACACTTTGTTTAAAGGTTTCAGTAGAACCAGTATTATCATATCTTGCAAATGTATAAATTTGCCAAGCAAGTGCAGAAGGGTTTGCAATGAACTTTGCAGTAAAATTATTGTACTCCCCTTGCTTGGCGTAAAATGTAACAATTTTAATGCAACAAGTCAAGCAATCAGCATTGTTAATACTTATTTTGTGCATGTTTTTTAAATCAATAAACTCTGTTCTCTATTGTAGAAATTTCTGCTTTTTCAGAACAGTAATTGTCCTTTCTAATCATTTACCAATTTACCAAAGTACTCACACAAATGGAACCTTTCAAGTTCCTACATAAAAAGTCTTAACAAAAGCTATTTTGGTAGAAATTATTTAACAAAAACATTGTTAAATGTGTTGTGATTATATTGAAAATACCATTGCAATATCCTAATGTCCGATGTTGTATTAAATAAACCGAGTGATTCAATTATAAATAAATTATGATTAATATAAAAGACAGTTTTTTTGCTTAATCATGTTTCTTCTTATATTTTATCAAATACAAATCAAAATGGCTGACGTAAAGATTTCATTCTTGCAGAGATTTTTTTTATTACCTTCTTGAATGAAATCTGTAGACACAAAACAAATTGTAATTCAAGGTATGAATATTATTGTTAAAGCTCCATCAATTGCCTCTTTTAAAATGCCTCCACGGAATTTTAACTTAACATTATCATTTTTCAATAATTTTAAAAGAACTCCACCAACTGCATAACCAGCATAGTCATGTCCTTGAGTGCCTGATTTGTATGTTTGTGATTTTTTATAGTCATTAACATCAATATATATTTCCAATAAACCACTTTTTCCTCTATTTGGGATGTTGAATGTAATATAATAAATGCCTGTTAGAGGAACTTTAAAAGTATTTGTAGAAATATTCCAACAATTCCATGTATCAACAACAACATTTGGCGAAAAGACAACGTCTCTAAAATAATAAGGAAGTGCATAGAAAGAGAGGGTGGGCACATACATAAATAGCCAACCAATTTAACAATTTAACATTGTTCCAAGACACATGTCTTATGGCCAAATAAGAAAAAAAATCAGAAAACTATTGTAATTTCTAAGGGTTAGGAGTAATCAAAAAGATTAAAGAGAGCCAAGGGCTAGGTTAGGGTTAAACTGTGCAATTCTTTTCTGTCGTATCTGTAATTTTTGTACACAATATTTTATTGCTTGATATATTTTGCTTATTCATAAAATACACAGATTACATAACAAACTGACAAAGTTTCAATATAGATTTTGTTTAAGGTCACGTGACATATACACATTCCACTGCTAATCAATGTCAATTAGAATGTAAGTTACTTATGCATTGATGGATTAGGATAAGGATTAGGAGGAAGATTAATAGCACGAGAAGAGGAATTATCTTTTAAACCTTGAAAAGTGTTTTTAGTAGATGTTGAATATTTACATTTGGGTTAATTATCAGTTGATGAAGACCACATTTCTTGATCTGTTCTCTCTGTTTATCGTGTATGCTACAATATCTTGTATCTAATCCATCAAGTTTGGATAAATGCTTTCTGCATCCTTCAAACAGTAACAAATGATTAATACTATAAAAGCTAGAAAATACACTACCTGGAGCACAAATTAAATTTGTTGTATCTGTCATTAAATCCATAGCAAGGCCTTTTACTTGACAGATGATGGGCTTTACTGTTGCCATGCAAACATTCATTTCTCTCAAAATTTTACAGGATTTTTCTATATTGAAAATGTGAGATTTATCAGTCAATTTTAAAGCACAATTTCTATAACTTTCTGTGCACAAATCATTATTGTTATCATCATCAATGTCATCCTCAAAATCTAAATTAGTCAACACCTCTTTCGCTGACAAACCAAATAGCACAATTATGACTGAAAGTTTTGAATATTAAAAACAAATTTAATTAATTAGAGTTAAATGCAGTCAGTACTTTAACTTACTAATTACAAACAGGGTTTCGTATTTGTTCATTTTTTGCCTAAATAATTTTGTAAGTCTTTGACAAAACCGAATGAAAGTTTTCATTGATATTAACTTTGCCATTTTAAAATTAAAGGAAAATATCAATAATGCCGCCATTGCATCTGTCATAAAATGCTTGTTTTTTATGTTATCATTCTTTCTTTTTCAAAAATTTGATAGGATATCCGTTTTGATAAAACCGTTGCTATCAAATTTATATATATCTAATAGGAAGTAAAAAGAAAACAAGGATGATAATTTAAAATACTTCCTTTTATTAGCAATGTTCAGGGTTAGGACATGTAATTTTGGACATGTGCCACTGCAAAACAAGAATGAAAAGCATTAAATACTATCAACTATAAAGTTCACGAAACACAACAAATTGGTATGAAGGACAGTATTACAACACAAAATAAAAAAAAAATCCATGATCTTTCGAGGTAAATGTAAGACAGAAGGAGAAGTGGATAGTGCTGTCAGACTACTGCAAAGAGTGAAATACTTATTGGTAATGGATTGCTTAACATTTGCTAACAAATCAAAAAACTTTTCTTTTCGATTTTTGTGATTTGAATGAAGATCAATGCGTTTATGTTGAAAATCTGCTAAAACACTACTCTATGATTGAGGAGATGCTTCTGGGATGGAATAGAAATATGGATTTATCATGTATCTTCGATGGCCTTAGAAATTCATCTGAAAATTTGAAAATTATTGGTCTGAATAACTTTAACATAGATCAAAATACGGCTGAAATTATTGGAGTTGCATTAATGGATCTCTGGAAATTGGAAAAAGTATATCTGCAAAATAAAATTTGGCAGAGCATGGAAATTATTAGTAAAATTTTGAAAAAGTCTTCTAACAAACAAACTCTGAAAATCACTGATCTAAAATATGTGAATTTAGATGAAAAAATGGTTTGCTGGAAATATAAATTAAAGAAAAGCTCTTTGTTTTGCAGACCTATTAAGGAAATGCTCAAAAATTGAAAAGATATCTCTAGAAGATAATCAAAATATGGATTAACCTCGTATCAAATGTATGGTTTGAAATTGTTAATTAACAAAAATCAATAGGTTCTTTATTTTCAATTTTATCATTGGTCTTAATATCATTTTTTGACAATTTTCCTCTTTCCAATACAAATACTATAATTTTGATAAAGTAACTATGTGAACCTAGTTTAATCCTTCTGTAACATCATATATATTTGAACCTGTATTTAGGCACGTTGGAGATGGATCATTTGTTTCTAAACAAATTGTTGATACTACACGTCAACAGACGCCATCTTTAAAATGATGTATTCTGAATTGTGTACCATTCAAAAATTCATAGTATAAGGCAATTCTTTGTTAATTTTTCACTATCATTGCTATCTCCTGTGACTCAAAAAGCTGTAGCTCTTTGTAGTCACAGTGTAAAAAGTGTCGTGATCTACTTTTCAAAATTTGGTATATTTAGTTCATGTAGGCCTAAGAGGGTTAGAAAGAAAAGCTTATTTGATGGTGAAAAGAATTGTTAATGTTTGACCTATCAAAATTTATGGTGTTCCAATTTTTATCCGGCTTACTTCATATGGCGGTATTGTACATAAACCCAATTCTATTGTTAATCATTTGTATGAAATGATATTGTGCTAATTGAATGACTCTATAAAATGAATACTTTGTGAAGTATAGGAACACAATATCAATAATTAGATACAAGTTAGTATTTATTCAATTCTGACAGAGGTATGTTAAAATCAAGAGTATGTTGCATTTTTTCTGTATGTTTAATATTAACTGCATTCGAAATATTATTTCTTCAAAATAAGAAATCTCAATTACTGAAAAAATATATTTATCAGTATAATGTTGATGATGAAAGGAAATTTTACTTAAATGAGGTATTTTAAAAATTAAATACAATAAAAAAATAATCAATAAGAAGCTGAAAAAAAAAATTGAAGAATAATAGTATTTTTCTGTCAATTATCAATTTCTGACCTGTTTCAGTGAAGACATATTGTCTAAATGATTAAGTGGACAGAATTCAAAAGAGAAATTTTTGTAGAAAAAAATTGAAATTATCCCTAGCTAAAACAGTGGTACCAAAAGTTTTTGAAAGAATCTTAATATTTAAACTAGTATAATAATATTTCAAATTTCCAGACATTTAAGTGATAAATCTCGAATCTTTTATCTAATCATCACTTTACAGTTGCAAAATTGTCTACTTCATATTTATGTTTAGAAACAGAATGTTACAAGGTTCAACACTTAAGAAGGCTAATTGAATTATAACTTGGCCAAAGCTTAACTGATAATTAAAGATGAACCTTAAGGATGACTAATCACCTCTATGTTTGGCCAAATGTCATTGTATTTTCTTGGGTAGGTTTTTTTAAATGGTACATGTATCAATTTTTGCATAAAGTAATTGTACTTTGTTGTATTGTAATTGTAGGAATTTCTGCTTCTTCAGAACAGTATTCGTCCTTTCCAATCATTTATCAACTCACCAAAGTACTCACACCACTAGTATCTTCCAAGTTTGTCCACAAATAGTCTTAATAAATGTACTTTCAGTAGAAATTAATCAACAAAATGCCAGCATTTCATTTAAAGAATTGAACTAACAAGCTGGGGAAATACATTTCCCAGATTTGGGTTCAATTGGTCAAATATAATGTTCAGATTAGGCCCATGTGGCCAACATGTGCCAGTGCAAACTAAAGCTATTTCCTATGGGGCTGACAGAAAACGTCCCCAAGTGAGATTTTTGAAAGCAACATTTCGGATTGAAAAATGGTTAGGGTGAGTGAAGTAGCCATTGATTTGTAGTTAGGGGGTTCCTTCTAAGGGTCAGGGGTAATCAAAAAGGTTAGGGAGTGACAAGGGCTAGGTTAGGGTTAGGGTTAAATCATGCATTTGGGGACATTTTCTGTCATAACCATTTCCTACATAATAGAGTTCCTTCTAAAGTACTATAAGTGAACTCTATGAAATAGAAGTATATCTATAGTTGCCCCATTGTAATTCCTATAAAATATAAATCTTTCTAATATCTAAAGCTAAATCTTTAAATGTGCCTATTAATAGGATTTGGAGTCCTGATATTCTTTTTTCTTATAAATTACTTTTGATAGGGCACGTAAATAAGTTAATCTTGCAGATGCTCTTGCAATTGTTGAACATGATGGAACCATCTTTTACATTCCCCCAAAGCTAATAACAGTAAGTTCTATAGTTGTATATTTTAATATAATCTATATTCTATCTACTTTTCTTTCCACTCAATTAATGAACTAAGGTAAGATTTTGGGTATCTTCAATACAAGTATTGAAAAATTAACAAAAGAAATCATTAATAATATTTCATTCGATTATTATTCTTACAAAGAGATAAATTGCGAAATGATGTCATAACCAATCAATTACCATTAAGTTGTTACTCAATTGTTACTCAAATCGATTTCTTCCAATGTTTCACATATTTCAAAACAATAACATAAACATTAAATATGAGTTAAGACATTATCTATACATCTATCAAACTCGAATAATGAAGTTATGAATTGTGTCGCCACCTCTAGCAGAAACAATAATCTTATACATGACAAACTATCAGCAAAACAAAAAGTTTGATTGTTATAGAAATATTTCATGAAATTAGAATCAGGGAATGAGATTAACAGCTATCAAGCTTCACAATACAATTTATATTACTTTTTCAAACATATTTTCAATGAAGTTTTTATATTCATACAATGTTTCAGTATCGACATTTTCCCCATCCAATTTGTCTACAACTTTCATCAGTGGAGTATCCAAAAGTTATTCCATATAGAAGTCTTTTTTAACAGTTGTAGTCTTTAGTTTCATAACTTACAATTGAATTTGAATTGTTTCTAAATCATACTCATCATATAAATTATCATCCAAACAATCATCTAATTCTTCCAGATCCTCTGTATCAATATAAAAGCATTTAAGCATGTCTTTTCTTTCTGCTAACTGAGAAACTGTATTGCATTATGTTTTACTTGATTCAATCTGTCTTTTAGTAAATTGCAAATATCAATTACTTTATCAGTTTCTCCAATTCTTGATACCCAGTCTGCTCTGTTAGTTCTTCCTGGTATATCAAAATCCATATCCATAACTACCATAACCCCTTTGATAGCACTTGAATTTAGTTTGTTTTGTACAAAGTTTGTACCAAATTTTGTTAATCAGTATAAAGAAAAAATTTCTTATACTGCAATTAATTGGAGAATTTTTGTAATGCCCAATACACAGTGAAAGCTTCTTTTTAATAAGCTGCATATCTTAGTTGTATATCGATTAGAAGCTTGGAAGCAAAAGAAATTGGTTTTCTTGTTTTCTTTCCATCTTCTTTCCATTGTTGTTCCAGAACTGCACCAACTGCATAATTGGAAGCATCTGTTGTTAAATAAAATGGTTTGGTAAAATCAGGTAGTTCAAGTATGGGTGGCTCTGTCATTGATTTCTTTAGTATCTGATAAGCCTCCTCTGCTTCCTTAGTCCATTTCAATATTTCAGTTTTTTGGTGTAATTTTGATAGCTCTCTCAAGGGTTTTGTAATTTTTGCAGAGTCCTTGATGAATCTTCTGTAATAACCACAAAATGCTACAAAACTTAATAAAGTATTTGCAAACATAGGAAATTCAGCATCTTTTATTTTCTGAATCTTTTCTGAATCAGTTTCAATACCATTTTGTGTAATTTTATGACCACGAAATTGTACTGATTCCTGTAGGAAAGCACACTTGCTTGGTTTGATTCTGAAATCATTTTTTTTAATTTTTTCCATTAACTTTTGTAAAGCTATGTAGTGTTCTTCTAATGTTTCAGTAAACACAATAATGTCATCCATATAATTAATACCAAAAATTTTCCAAACCTTTAATTACAAAATTTGCCATAATATAACTAAAGTGTGAAGGTGCATTTGCCATACCAAAAGACAACATTTTAAGACAAAGAAATGTTCTAAATATGGTCATGTTTTTATTGTTTTCCTCTTTTAAATAATAGTTGAATTTCTCAGGTTGGAGAGTTGCATAAGATGTAACAATTTTAGTAGGACAAGTCCAACAATCAAGAAAACATGTAGATTGTATATTTGACCATTTTTATATTCTACATTAACAATGAATGTGTACAAATTATATTTCAAAGATTCTTAATAATTGTTTTTCTTGAAGCTATTGCAAATATTGAATTAAAAATTGAATGAAATTTTAATACTCAATTGACAAATCAAAAATTCAGATACACATAAATTCTATACACGAGATATTTCTTTTTTTTTCAACAAGCATTCAGAATTGATAATGATCATTCAATACAATATTAGAAGAAAATTGTGAAAATTGCAAATGTTGAGAAATACCTTATTGTGTTTTATTTAAAAATGGAGATGATAATGGATTATATCATCTATATAATTTATTTATTGAACAAGAAATGTATATTCTTCCAAAATCTCAAATGATTAGTTTAGAGAAAATTTCTGGCTTAAAATTGAATCTAAAAAAGTTAGCTCAAGGCAAGAAGCTATTTTACAATTGAAAGAAACAGCTGAAAATATATTTGACTATCTTCTAAAAATGAAAAGAGAAGATAACCCATGCTAAGTTCTTATTCGAAATATTCTCTATTCTACAAAAATTGTGGATAGAGTTTGCTGCATTTGCCAATTTGAATTATCAAAAAGGATTAGTCTTCAAACCACTTGTTCTCAATATTATCATATCAATTTCTGCAAGAACTTGATTATGAGTGGGAGTACAGCTAGTTTATTTCTAACACAAACTTTTTATTTCAGAAACTGGACAATTAGTATGGTATTATTTAAAAGCTTAAGGGCTTGATTAGGGTTAGGGTTAGGGTCAAAAATGTAAATTCAACAACATTTTAGCTAATTGGTTACAAATCCCAGAATATCATTCACCAAAAAAATAATACTTTTGGTTCACTACTCATAACTATTACAATAGGAAATTGAAAGGTTCTATTTGTGTGAGTACTTTGGTGAGTTGATAAATGATTGGAAAGGATGAATACTGTTCAGAAGAAGCAGAAATTCCTACAATTACAATACAACAAAGTACACACCTCTTACTGGTTTCTATAGCAAATCTTTATATATAGAGTTTTAATGTAAGAGAAAACAGGAAATAAACAGAAAGTTGAAATATTTGTAATGAACAAATAAACATAGATTAATCAAAGAGTTATAGCAGATGAGCCTAAATTAGGGTCAGTAGAAGTTTTATTAGGCAGCTCAATATATAAACCAGCTTACCAAGTTGATACAATTGGAACTTGTATCTTACCAGAAGTTGGATTGCAATTTTCCAGTATAAGTTTCAGGCCTGTTCCTCTACCTACACAGTCAAATATTGGTTTTAAAAAGTTTTTGTATATGCCTATTAGGAGTGTAAAACCTTTTACAATAATGATTGAAAAGAAAATGTAGTTATATCATATTATATCATGAAAAATTATTTATAAATATTTCTTTGAGTACTTTGGTGAATTGGTAAATGATTGGGAAGGATGAAAATTGTTGTGACAAACTAATTAACTGTTAAAGAACTTAACTGCCAAACTGGGAAAATGTATTTCCTTTTATACATTTACCAAAGCTTGGGTTCAATTGGTCAAAAGATTACGAAGTTGAAATGTAACAGTCTCACAATGCACATACAACAAAGTCATGAAAAACTATTGCATCACAGCTGGCTAACATGTGGCACTTCAAAAACAAGCCTGCCTCTTCTGCATCTGTTTTTGAATAAGATGTAACAAGTTTATCTTATTAGTATAGTTTAACTCTTTGAGATCAGTTCTTAATAAATCAAATTCTTTATATGGAACTAATACTCTTGTTCCTGGTCCACCAAATTCTCTTATGTATCTGTCTTGATATGGGAGGTCCATTATTGCATAGTTTGGATATAATAAATATCTTCTTAGCTTGATGCATTCTACATTTTTATCCACAGCTTTCCAATGTGATGTATGACTTTGTGTATTATTGCAAACAGTTAAGAGGCATAATCCACTCCAATTTCTTGTATTCATCCTGTTCATCTCTTGTCCAATGTGTTCATTTCTTATTTGTAGCCAGTCAGCAATTGTGTTAATTGTAGGCTTCTTTGCTAAGTCTTTATTTTCTCTGATAAAACCATCATCTATTAATTTCATTTTCCATTCTTCACATTGTTTTTGCTTATCTGGTGGTACTTTGTGAGCTTTCTTATTTTCATTGATTTACTTCAGTTCTTCCCTATTCTTCTCTACATTTTAAATGTTATGTTTTCTTATTCTTTAATGTGAAAACTTCTGTATTGCCCAATAAACAGCAAAATTTTCTTTTTGATATGCTCTTCTCTTGGTTTTCTTTCCATCAGCTCCAACAGTTTCTTGCTCTAAGATCATTTATGAGTCAACAACTGAAATTATCAAAAATTTCAAAGTGCTCCAATTATCTTGAAATTTGGTTCAGGGTTAGTTTGGGTTAGGGTTATGGGTTAGGCCACTCACAGAACTGTTTCTAATGGTTTGATTTCCAACTTGGTGTTTCTGTTCTTGTGTTAGTAAGATGCTGGTTCCTGACAAACACTAATTTGGGTACTGGTTAGAGGGCCATAATCTGTATTTTATAAACATGGGATTAAAATGTACATTATTATAGTGGATCTAATAGTAAACTTGCATTAAAAATGCAATTTGTTGTATCAGGATTGTAGGAATTTCATAGGACAAGTGAAGTAGACTTTGATTTGTAGTTAGGGGGGTTCCATCTAAGGGTCAGGGTAATCAAAAATGTTCAGGAGTGACAAGGACTTAGTTAGGGTTAGGGTTAGACTATGCATTTAGGGATGTTTTATGTTGTATCCACTTACATAATGTTATCATTCTTTTAAATATATGAATTATTAAGAATACATTATTGTTTTTTGTAAGATTATTTCATGTCCAATTCAAAAAGTTAGTCTGTATTTATGCCTTCATACATTCCATAAAATATATTGTTTACATTATAGATTGTTTTTCATTAGGCAAATGTCATATACAAAATTTAGGAAACAGTATTACTTAACTCAATAGTTTGGTTTACCTTCTGTAAATCATAAAATATAAATTGTAAATATTATATTTAATTTGAATGTTAATCAATTCTTTTGAAAAGATAGTCAGTTGTTTTCAAAGGTTTCAAAATGTCATTTACATCAAGCAACCAACAAGACTTTTTATTTCTTTGTACAACACTTCCTCTCAAAAATTTGTTGTCAACTTGAATAGAAACCATTTCACTGTTTAAACTATCTTCTCCAATTTGAACTGCTGTGAAGAATTTAAATTTTTTCTGGCCAATATCTCCAATTAGTCCACTCATTTCATTGTAATCTTCAGGCATAAGCCTAAAGCCTACATCCAGGTGCATTTCCCCTAAAAAATGCTTAGATTTCTCAACAGCAATTGCATTTAATGACTTTAATTCAGTGAAAATAATCTTTTTCCCATTTACAATTTCACATTTCAATTGATTAGTTTGCAAAATCATTTGCTTTGAGTTTTCATTCCATTGAATGGTATCTTTTTGGCCAAGATGAATATCCTTTAATGATACTGTGATGTTGGCAGATGGAGATTGAATGACAATTTTATGCATATAGTAATCATCTTTCAGTTGGCCAAAAATCTTTATTCTACTGTGAGAAAATCCAGCAATATATATATAATCTCCCATTTTCCCAGTTACATCATAACATATTTGTTTAGTAGACATAGTTGATTTGTCAACAACATTTTGTGCAAAGTGTGGATCTCCAGTTGCAGATGCCCATGGTGAAGGAGCATTGGGTGAAAAGTAAACTGGAATTTCATTTTGGAATGTTTTTCCATTTGATATGCAACTTGCAGCTATGAAAAAGGACTCTTGGGAACCAGTTTTAGTAACTGTAATATCCAATGAATCTTGCCCAATTGAAAGTGGTCCAACATTATCTACTGTAGCTATAGAAGTGTCTGGTCGAGTTATGCTAAAGTAGACAAAAGTAGACATATAATTGATGTTGCAAAATTTGACTGTCATTGTACTAATTACCTGCATGAGCCACCACCACTACCACCTTGAATTTTGGCTCTAAATGGTGAAGTTTGCTCAGTTGACATCTCAATTTCAATACCATAGCCCATAGGTAGATTACCACTACCATATTCTAATGAAACATCAAAAACATCACAAATAATTAAAAAAATTTTGAAAACGAATATTGATAATACATACGTTCACGTGAATAAACATATCCTCTAACTTCAAATTCAAGTGTAGTCCCTCCACTGGTACATGAATAAGTGTAGGTCAGTACATAATTCTCAGTTGTTCCTGAAAACAAACTGCCTTGGAAATTTTCATATACAAGTGCAGAATTTACTGATTTTGAGGATTGTAGTAAAATGGTTCCATCTGGTTTTGTAAGTGTATAGCTGTAAAACAAATTAAATTGATAGATTCCTGATTTGAATGTTAATGTAAAAGATACCTGCAAGTAGGAGTTCCAGTGATTTGTCGGAAATAAAGGTTGTAAGTACTACTATCTTCCAAAATTTGAGCTGGAGATTCAACTTTCAGACTAAAACTGTCTGAATGAACTGTAATTACTGTAAATAAATAAAAATATATTAATTTGCTTTGATATTAAAAATAATCTAAAAATCATACAACCAAAACTCAGAAAAAGAAGAGCAAAGTTATGTATTGTAAACGCCTTCATGATTTTTGGATAACTAAAAAAAGTTGGGTGCTTTTAAGGATTTTTTAACAATAGATGAGGAGACAATTTAAATAAAACAGTCTTTGAAATATTTCTATATTTTTACAAAAAACCAAAGAAATTGTCAAATATTTCTCATGAATAATTTGAATAAACAGATCAGGCTATTTTATTAAACATAGTATTTAACCTAAAAATGTAGGACTAGTAGTATTTTATTATTCAGCAAAATATTTTTCTTCTTCTATATATTTTAATAGTGTTTTGTATTGAACACTTAAAGCTGGTGGGAGCAATAAAGAAATCATTCACTATCAGCTTTACAATGGAGGTAAAAATTTTTGGTTGGGAATGTCAGACAACAAAAGAGAAAATATTCTTTACACTTCTTTTCATTTTGGCAGCATTTCAGACATTTTAAAAGAGGGTGAATAATTTCTCTCAATTTTTGCATGGACTCATGTCTATAGGCTTATTGAATAAGAAGAGGTGTACTTTGTTATATTGTAATTGTAGAAATTTTATGTTGTATGGGAATTGATAAAATAGACAAAGGACATTGATAAAAATAAAATTTAGCCTGGGAAACTTTAAAATCTAAAAACTCCTTACGTTTAACACAGTCAAAAACATTTTTTTATTATGATTTTTCATTATAGGCTTAAGATTAAAACAAATATTTATACCAATTGATTCAAACAGTAATAAGACAGTTAGAATAGTATCAGAGTTGATGTTAAAGTAAAAGTTTAATAGGAATTTTAAAAAAACAAAATATCAGAAATTTCTGGAAATTGTTAGAAATGCCTTTGTTAATATAGAAATATGACTCATTTTCCAGAGAAGGCCTATTTTCATAGAGATGTACCTACACATTGACTCTAGTGACATTTTTTCTAAAATTCTTTCCCTTCTGCTGTGTATATCTGAAGGAGTTCACACTTAAATCATTTCAGTACTGATTAAGGTCATAGTGGATCCATTTAGCACAAATCTTTCCCTATCTGAGTTCTTTTGTCATTTATCCAATAGCTACATAACAAATTTTTTGAAGATTGCTCTCTGTAAAATAGTCTGATCTCTACTTTTGGGGCTATTTATTTCTTCTCGGTTTTGAAATTTTACAACTGTCTTTGGACAACCACATCTTGCAAGTCATCAAAATTTTTTCTTTCCTTTTTATAACATATACCTACCTTCTTATGAAACATTCACTCAAAATGTCATCCAAAAATAGCTTTTTGATCATCTGTAAAAGAACTTAGAAAAACTTTCTCAATCACTAAAAAAGCAATGAATTTTCAACAGTGTTTACACAATAAAAGTTTTTTTATTTACTAAGAGTATTGGAGAGTATCAATGACATTAGTTGAGTTGTTTTAATAAGAAAAGCACAAAGTTTGAAATAATTTGACCCAACCTTATATCTAACAAATATTGTTCATATTTTGTCCACTAAATATTATATCCAACAGAAGTTATTTGGAAGTAGCATTTGTACAGCATTCATGTAACATTACAATTTTTACATTCAGACACATCTATCACTACTTACAAACTGGGTATCATAGGCATCTTTCAAAATATCTAAAAAATTTGTTCACTATAACCCTACTTTCAAAAATTAGAAAAGAAAATGACAAGAAGAATTTTAGTGTAGCAAAGACTTTACATGTGGTAGAAAATTTTGATAAGTTAATAATTTTACCTTAACCTTAATCTAATCATATTTTTTTACCTAACCTATTTGAATAAACTTAATGTTTGATAGAACCCAACCTAGTATTTATCAATAGTTTTAATATTTTTCTTAGACATTTTCCCATGCTGAAATCTAGCCTTGAAATATTTCACATATGCCTGTCTTTATCAACAAAAACTATTTCAAAAATATCCAAGTAAATAATATTTTACAGTTGAATGAAAAATTTTTTAAATGTGTCTAAAGAGATACAACACAACTAGCCCACTACCATAGATCCTATATTGTACTGCTCTTGCTGGCAAAATCTATGCATTTGCAAGTTATAACAGTATGGGTTCTACTCAAACCTTTAAACAAATGTTTAAATTAAAACAGTTTATTCACAATAATAATACTTAAGCAAGTAACAATATGAGAGTTCGATAGCAGAGTAGATAGTTCGTAAAAGCAGGTTGCCAAATTACCAAACTGTCTTCTAATGTTGAGGAGTAGATGGATGGTTCCAGTGGAGGTTGTTTCCAGATGATTTTCCCAGGTCCTTGGGTCCAGATGGAAGCTGCATGCCAAATGAGAATAGTGAGGATTTATATACTTTGAGGTTTGCCTCTGACATCCAATCATCACTTTACAGTTGCCAAAATGTGTAGTTCATATTTATCTTTAGTAACAGGATGTTACAAGGTTCAACATTTAGGAAGGTTAATTGAATTATAACTTGGCCACACCCTAGGCAAGTTAATTAAATTATAACCTGGGCAAACCTTTATTGGTAATTAAAGATGAGCCTTGAAGCTGACTAATCAGACTTATGTTTGGCCAATGTTATAGCATTTTCTTGCGTAGGTTTTAAGATGAACATGTATAAGTTGCATAAAATAATAGAGTTCAAGCATGTAAAATATAACCAAAGTTGTACAGTATGGAAATAATTGTAACACTGCATGAATGGTACTTTAAGAGTTAAGGCCCTTCTGATTTTTGAAGATGGTAGCATAGAGGGATCTGGTAGTCTAAGGTAAACACATTCACTGCAAGGTAGGTAGTAGTTATATTTTACCCAAACAAAAGATTCTGCAATTAAGTTTTCAAACACAAAAAATAAGCAAGTGAAGCTAAAAGAAATAGATGATGGAGAGAGTATTACCTCATCTTCATTACTTAGTCCAAACAGTCCTCCTAAATCTATTACTTCTTTTAATGAAAGAAGATTTGTAAAAGTTCTATATCTGTTGTAAAACAAAACAAAAAACAAAAAACAAATGAGTTAGGTTAAAATTTAAAATTACAAAAAAAGAAATTAAACTGTGTTTTTATTTACTCAATAATTTTATTTTCAAGACTCTTACTGCTATTTTATCAAAATTTATCCAACTGCAAAGCATTAAAGCTGATATACATTCCAATTCTGGAATAAATTTTTGTGGTTTATTTGAACTTTTTATAATGTGAGTAGAATTTAAATTTCTACAGAAAGCATAGGGTATGAAAGTTTTATTTTCAATTATTTCTGAGAGAAATGTCACAGATGTGTCTCTCAGTGGACACTTCATAAGGAAACCAACTTTAACTGGAAAATCTTTAAATGGTTGGGTAAAATATCTTAGAAAATTGGTTTCCAGTTTCCTAAAAAAGTCTGAAGGAAAAAATAAAGGAAACAGGAAGGTTAACTAGAATAATTATCAATTTTTATTATGTGTATACCTTGGTAATAATTTTCATTTTCTTTATGATGTTGAGTAACCAATTCAGAAAGTGCTATTCTATCCATATTTGGTTCGTTCAATATTTTAACAACCTCTTGAGGGATTTGTTCAGCGTCTAAATATTCCATTAACTCTTCCCAATTAAATTCTCTATTATTTGTTTCTTTTGAAAATGAATGGAAAACTTAGAATAGAATAAAAGGAAGAAGAGGAGGAGGAGGAAAAAAGAAGAAATGGTGTCTTACCTATTATGATATTTTCATAATTCTTTTTTAATAATAGTAAAGTTAATGATTGTAACTTTATCCATTTATATTTCTGTTTAATCCAACAGTGACTGATTTTCAACATTTCCAATCTATGAGAAATGTCACATATTGTAGCAATGGTTGGCTTCATACTTTTATCATCCATTTCTGCCATAATTTGAAATTTTTGTCCAATTCTAATTTTATCATGTGATAATTTATAGTTGTCTTTCTAAAACAGAGCAAACAACTTTATGTTAGTTTTTTGAAAAGAATTTTAAGAGAGGAAATTACAGTTGAGTGCAATAAAACTTTGAAAATATAAGTAAAACCCTTTAAATTAGCACTTCTCCAATACCCAAAATAGGATAAAAACACATACTTACAGGAGCAAAAGTGAAATCAATATCACTGTCCTGAGCCAAATCCTCTCTAGTATGTATAACGAGTTGATAATTATGTTTTGGAACATTTATACAATCAATAACAATGTTATCAAGAGATATTTTCATTTCAATTTCATCATCTTTAAAATGAAGCTGTTTTTTTCCATGATATTTAAATAACAATTGAATTTTTAAAATTGATAAATCAGCAAAATACAGTTTCCTTTGTATACTTTTGTTTTTATATTTCCAAATTATGTCATATTTATGATTTGTAGTATCAAAAAGAAATTGTACTTCATTCCTAAACAAAGAAGACAATAAATAATTTTGATGATTTATGACAAAAAAGAAATAGAAACAACAAAGATAAAATCTTACTTTTCAGATCTGAAAAATAAAAAAATTATTGATTAGGATAGGAATTTTTTATAAAAAATGAAAAATTCTATAAATTCATTACATTAGTTGAATACTATTTGTTACATTGCTTGGTTTTATCTCCAGTGTATAAAAATGTATAGGATCCATTAATGTTTTACAAATGTATTTCTTTATTTTTGGATCTTCATCAAGATCATTACTCAATTTGCTAAATGTTAACATTTCTTCTGGTTTATTCTCTTCAGTAAAGTATATCTTGTCAGCAGTTGTAGGATTATATTGCTTATGCATTATCCAAATTAAATGGGACCTTGATGCATTTTTCTCAGTTAAAGCATCAATGGGTGTGTAAAAGATGTTAAAGTTATCAACTTGATAAAAGGAAGGAAAGTAAGGATGAAGGGAAGAGAGAAATTTAAAAATTAATGGTATCTATTTGAAAAATACAATAATATACAAACAGAATAAAAGATTATTATCATCTTCAAAGTTTGCTTCATTACCCCAAGGTGTTTCTAGTTGTCTCTTAAGAAAAATAAATAGACAAAAGTTCAGATAAAGGAGAATTTTTTCAATATAATTTTTTGTCTCACCTCGTAAAATATTGATGATTCATGGAAAGCAAATTCAATAATTACTGCTATTTCAATTAAAAATCCAGCTATTAATGCTGGAGCTTGTTTACATGCAAGTGTAGATGAGATAACTTTTATATTTTTAGAACTGCCCTCTTCCTTCTCTTCCTCCTCTTCATCATCAAATAGAATGCAAGTTTCTACAGGACCTCCTTGAAGAACAACTCTTCCCCTTCTCAGTTCAATTATAAAACCAAATGGATCTCCTATCTTGTACACCGAAGTAATTAAGTATAATAGTAATCTGTGTAATTGATTCATGTATATTGGACTTTCTGGGTAGTAAGTCAAAACAGCTGACACAGCTTCTTTTAAATTCTATAATTTGGAGGGAAAAGTGTGTTTTTTATGTTCACTGTTCTTCAAACTTTTGAAAACATACCAAAGAACTTTTGTAAGGAGTTTCTGGTTTGGGTAAACTTTGAGGGAAGACACAAGAATTTGGTGTTAAATCTAATACAATTCCCATTTGGCAGAATATGTTCTTATGAAAGTTAACATCTATTTTTGTCTAATAAAAGAAAAAAAGAAGATGAAAATACAGAATTTCTTCTAGTAGGATATGGTACCAAATGACTAGGTAATGTGGTCATAAATGCCTTTTCCATATTTCTACAGACTGGAGTATCCTTAGTCAAGAAGTAGTATTGACCTTTAAGAGAACCTTGACACTGTTCCGACGATGTTTGAAGTTGGTGGAAAATGCTCAACAACCACTGTGCATTGACAATATAGTATTCTTTGTAGAAAATTGTCTTAATGAGTATAAATGTGCCCTGTTGATGGTAAATTATGAAAGCAAGATGGTTTAATGCAATTATTTGTTTATAATTTACAGTCTTTTCAATTAAATCCAGAGCTTTAAAGTAAGGAAACCTATACATATTTAAAGAAACATCTTCAATGTCACCATCATCTATTGAAATTTTTTTATATTCATGTGTAAAGTTAAGTAATTCTTCACGAAATGATCCTGTGCCTGCCTTGAATTTCGTCATTTTCTAAATGTTGAAATTATATAATTGATTGTATAAAACAAAACTGGTAGAATTAGGTTATAATTACTTTTCAAGAATGAATCGACTGGACAATGCTCAACAATTTGTTTAAGTGTTGTATATCCTTTTCCTATTTTCTCTTCTTGCAACAGTCCGTTAATTTTCTGTTTTAACTTGACAACTTCCTCACCTGTGGCCTATTTTGACAAAAGGAATGCTATTAATTAATAATGAAGAACAAAAAAAGCAACATCATCACCTTTAGGTAGGAAAAACTGGTAACTAAGACATTATTAGATCCACAAACATAAACAGACAGTTTCTATTTTTTTTTAATACAATGTATTTTATAATTGAGATCTCTTTAAAGAGGATTAATATACACCTTTTGTCTGTGATTATAGAAATTTAGTTTAGCAGACGTCTTGACTTCAATTAAGGATAAATTCTCTTGCAGGGCTATATAATTATGCAAATTAAGTTGATCTTTGAAATTTAATTTTCTCAAGTTATTCATTCTATAAACAAAGAATATTAAAGAAATTAAAAAAATTGAGTTAGAAGGTCAAGGTTAAGATTGAATGATGGTTTTGGAGATTTTGTAGTCTTTCTCCATTTTGGTGGTTTTACCAGGGACCAGTAGAAAACAGCCAGGATTGAAAACGGCCAGAGTTGAAAATGGCCAGAGCTCAGTTGAAAATGGCCAGAGCTATGATTGAAAATGGCCAGAACTCTGATTGAAAAATTATATTATTTTTAACTGCTCAAAACCTTCACATAATTAAATGTTTGTGAGTGATAATGTCACAACTAAAATAATATACCAGTTTTCTTTTGTAAAATGTATATTTCACTGAAACTATTTCTGTTTGAAACCATTAGGCAACATTCATAAATTTGATAATTTAAACAAGTATAATGGCCATAATAGGGGGTTATTTATTTTATATTTAAAAAGAATTAATTTTGTTCTTGTCATCACTTTTTTTCAGAATATTTTTGATTGCATTTCCACAGAAAGTTCTACTTTATATCAGACCACTTTCAAAATGGCTCCTTCTTGCTATTCTTGCCAAACAAAAATATATAAAAAATATGAATGCATATGCAGTCTATGCAAGAAAATATTTCACTTGAAATGTTTAAGAGGTAAGACTTCATTAGTTTTTTTAAACTTTTAAAAGTTGTGTTTTAGATGGTTTTTGCTCAATGTGTACAACAATCAACAAACATCAATTAAAAGTTTTTTTGAACAAACATGATGACATCTCTGTTCTTTTTCAACAACCAGAAGTTGAAAAAAACACTGCAATGGAGGTGGACAACCAAGCTTGCACTTCTGATAAAATAATGGCAGAAGAGAGCATGACAGAAGATGTTGTTACTGCATTTCAATTGGAAGAAGAAATACAAACAAGTCATTGTGAAATCCTAAATTCTGTTCTGGAGAATGAAAATATCATGGAAGTTGATCATGAAGAGGAATGTATGACAACTGATATAGCACAAGAAGATGTTAATAATGGATTTAATGCTCAAAATCATATAGAAAGCTCTTTTGAAGACATAATGGATGAAGCAAATTTAGATGATGATGGAGCATTTAAAATTTTCAAGAATGGAAGCCAAAAAGGAAAACCATTAATGGTTCACAATGGCTTTTCATATACAATAAAAGAATGTGGAGAGCACTTCAGAATATGGAGATGCAGTGTGAGAAATAAAAACAAAAAGTGTGCTGGAAGTATAAATGAATATAAGGGTAATTGCCAAATAGGCTCCAAACAACACATTCATCCTCCAACACTAAATTTGGAAAAAATCATAGAAATGAAAATCAATAAAAGAGAAAGAGCAAATAAGGATTTAAATGTAAGCAGCAAAAGAATAGTAGAAGACTCATATCTGCAAAATGAAAATGTGTCCAATTTTCCAAAAATATCTACATCAAAAGCAATTAACTATCAAAGGAGGAAAAATAGACCAAAGGAACCAGAATCAATAGGTTTTCTGCTAAATTTTACATTTATTCCAAATGGATTTTTCAGAGAGGATATTCAGGAAAAAGATGAGAGAATAATAATGTTTGGAACTCATCACCAAATGCAACTGCTATCTTCTGCAAAGATGTGGTTTTTAGATGGAACTTTCAAAGTTGTAAATCCTCCCTTCAAACAGCTGTTTTCCATTCACTCATTTCTGAAAAAAGATGGTGTGCTTAAACAAGTTCCTCTTCTTTTTGCAATGACATCATCAAAAAATAAAGTCTGTTATTCTCTTTTATTTTAGGTATACTTTAAATACTATTTTGAAAAAAGTCTACAAATATTTCTTCATGCTGTAAAAAAATTGATTCCTGACAAATCACCAAAGAAAATATTGGTAGATTTTGAAAGAGCAGTTTGGAAGAATTTACAAAAGCATTATCCAGATGCTGAAGTAAAAGGCTGTCTCTTTCACTGGACTCAGGCAGTCTTCAGAAAGATTCAAGTGCATAATTTTTTTGTGTTTAATATTTTCTTAAAAAACTAATTTTCTTTTGGATTTTGTAGGAATTGGGTTATTCTGCTGAATATAAAAACCATACTGGACAATGGACTGAAATGAAAAAGCTATTGGCATTACCATTCTTACCTGCTGATGTTATTCCAAATGAATTTCATAAAATAAAACAACATTTGAAAGCAATTCAGAAATTGGAGGATCTTGTTAACTATATTGAGGCTACTTGGATTGAAGATAGTCTGTGGACACCATCATCTTGGTCAGCATATGAATCTCCTATCAGAACAAATAATGATGTTGAGGGATTCCACAATAGATTGAATATAAATATGGGCAACTCCAAATCTTTTTACAATCTGATAGATGAGCTGAAAAGAGAGGCTGATCTCATTCCAATTTATCAACAGCTGCTTTCTGAAAAGAAATTGAAGAGATTACAGAAAAAAATCTATTTAAATGTCCAAAAAGAAATATTTGATACTTGGGAGAAATTTAAAAATGGTGAAATAACAGCAGCTCAGATTTTTGGAAAATTGTTCAAAAATATATTTTTCACATTAGATATTTTTAGTTCAAGTTGTTACTTTTAGTAGTTTCTCTTTTTTCTATTTGTTTTAATGTTGTTTCATTTTCATGAAATATATATCTTCAAACTATTCTTATCATTTAGAATAATCAATATTATTATTTATTTATAATTATAATTTTTTATATAAAACTAGGTCTTTGGCCGTTTTCAATCAGAGTTCTGGCCATTTTCAATCATAGCTCTGGCCATTTTCAACTCTGGCCGTTTTCAATCCTGGCTGTTTTCTACCATGTTTGTTTTACCAGCCTATCATAAAACCTTAACCCTAACCTTATTTATCGATTACTAGCTTGGTCAACTCAAACATCCTTTCCTTGTCTTGTGATAGTGTTTCCTTTACCATTGTTAACACTTTGTCAGGTATAAAATGAATTTTATAAGATCCCTCACTTTCCCCCATTGCCAATGTAACAGAAATGAATAGAAGGGAAAATCTCAGGATGCAGGAACTTGAATATATATACAAATATAAATGGGTATAAATACAATAACAGAAAAAAAAACAATATTATCCTTATTCTTTGTAATGACCTTTTGACCTTTTAGTCTTAAAACATAGAATAAGGACAGTTTGTTTTGTGTAAACTGAAAAAAAAAAATAAATTTGTAATACTTTTGTTATAAAAAATTGGATGATTTTTTGAAAAATCACCAACTCTTCATCCATTTTGAAATCTTTATTAAATGGTACAATTACAGAACACCTGTTGAGAGTTATCAGTGGTAGAAACTCCTATATTGTTGAAAAATGGATTTCATATTGAAAAAACAGACAAAAATGAAAATTTTTACCTCAACACATTCATAAAAGTGAATACCGTTGTCAAAATAATAATGAAAATGATGACAAGAATTAAATTCCATTTTTGTACTTTTAACATAGTGGATATAATCAAGTCTAGGCCAGTTGTTATCATGAAATACTCCTTTATACATTGATTATGTTGTTTATTTTCAATGATATTCTTATCACTATCAGCTGTATCCATTTTTTTAATCCAAAAAACCCAAAAGTTAGATATTACTGAAAATTATTTAAGTATTTTCACTGTACAATTAGAATGCAATGAAATATGGTAAGTGTCCAAAAACCAGTGTAGTTACGCTTAGCAATGTACACTATTATTATTGAACTTAGCCTGTTATGGCTAGTCCACTCCTAAACAATAATGCAGAGTAGTGAAATAACAATCCTGAATAATGTTACAAGCTTTTTAGCTTTGTTGTCTTAATTTACTTAAATTAATTCAAACAATCAAGTCCCTGGTCCTTTGTCTTGATCTATGGCAATAAGTTTTTAATTATATCAATGCATCTATAACAAGTATCTATAAATTCTCTTTTCTGTAGCCTCTTTCCAAAACAACTGCAGTCTACAGCAATTTATATACTTTGTAGAGACAGTTAGGATTTATAAATGGCACATTAAACATTCATTTGTCATTTAGCTGCATTCATAAAACTTCCAGAACCCCTCTAACAATAAATCAATTCAAATTTTGTAGTTAACCCTTTCCTAAGATGTATTCAAGTCCTATATTTTTTACCTGAACACAATATTACATAGTTAATTATTATCCTGATAGGATTAGCATGATTTGTACCAGAATAATAAAAATATTGTAAAGTAAGCATAGACTTTATTGTCTGGCAAACATTTAAATCTTTCATTTAGCAGCATAATAATGATTATATTTATATCTGGATTGATTTTTTTTGCTATAGAAAAGGTTGAATCCCAAATGTTATCTTTACAGGTTCAAAACGAAAGTGATTTATACGTTGAAGGAATT